AATAAATTCGAAGATTGATAACAGCTGTGTTTCCTCTGTTTTCTTGTTTTTGGAAAGGAAAAAATGGATGTTTTTGGAAAACAACAATGAGATTTTTGTGCTTGTAACTTAACTCTTTCCATAAAATTCCTTAACGCAGTTGTGTGGACAATTGAGCGCAAAAAACGCTATTGTGGGTGAAAGTATTGTTCTTCATTTGCTTGAGACGAGAACAGACACCTGAAAATGCCTGCTTCCATCAAAAGAGACTTGAGCAAGGGGCGTTATGAGACGCAGACGGCCATAAATATTTGAGAGTTCTTTTCTTTATTTAGATCTGAAATCTCCAAAGAAACTAAGATAATAGAGAGATTTAACACCGCGTTTATGTGAAACGTGAACGACAAAAGTAAACGCGTGATCACGATTTTCCCGCCATTTTTTCACGTTGGCCGCTTCAACGTGAAAGTAAACTGTTTCGCGTTTGCCGTTTACGTAAGATTTTGTTCACTTTTCCTCTCATAGAGTAGAAGTTAAATGGCCGGAAAAAGTGCACAAACACTACTACCTGTAAGTTATAAAAGGGCAAATGAAGTTTCATGTTAAAAATCCTTAAATTGCCGCACTTCTCTTCAGTAGACAGCTGCAAGAGCTCGCGTTCACTCGTGAGATGGCTTCCAGTCCATAACGAAGTAACGTAAGCCTACGCGAATCTACAGCAGTAAGGTTCACGGTATCTTGCGTGAATGGGTCAGCTGACGTTTGCCGTTTCACGTAAACGCGGTGCTAACAATCTCTCCAATTATGCTGAAGCGACGGCTGACGTTAAATTGCTCCAAAAGTAACTGCATCTCGCCTCCAAATCACCGTTCCCGTTTCAAAGTCGTCTTTTCTTAACTGGCGGTGGGGAATGTGTAATGATCCTTTTAATTTTGCTCTTGTTATCTCGTCTTGTTTTACTAGTGCACAAATTTTGTTCAACACTTAACATTAATTACTATTCATTCATTCTTCTTCTTTTTTAAAATATATATATCATTCATGAACCAATAATCATTTCAGTTCTGACAAAGTACTATGACTCAGCTATAACTTTTGCTGCGCGGTTTTGTCTCTTGGGCTTCTCGGAGGTGAATGGTACTTGATAATCACTTTCGATCTAGCCAATTAGTGGGCGCTATAGTTTACCATTTCCACAGAGTGACGCCTCACCCCTCTGCTTGTCCAACGATAGAGGGTTCAGGAATCTGAAATGGTCACGCGGTTGCTGCTTCTGAGATGTCAAGCTGCTACCTAAAAAAACCATTGAGTATGCAGTTTTTCAGAGAACAAAGGCGGGGAAAACAACATGAAAGAAACAACATATCAAAATTGACAACGTGTCAAGCGACAACGTGGAAGTGACAACGTCGACAACGTTTAAGCATAATAACGGAAGCGATGTCTTTGAAACCAATATTCCACGGTGACGTCATTTCAAATGCTTTTGTTCATAGTAAAGCTTTTTAAAAAGATACTTCATTAAACACCGGTTCAGCACGCACCTCATCTAACACATTCTACTTGGAGAAGTCCTTCCTTCATTATCGACAGCTTGAAGGCGACAACTCAAAGGTGACAACTTGGAAGGGGCGACAACGTGTGACCTTTCTCCTCAGGGCGGTCTTTAGTAACCAGGTGAACTCTGACGACGCGAGAAAACCGCAACATGGCGACGCTTTCGACAATAACGCTGTCCCTACCTATGCTACTTTTAGCTTTTCTATTTGTGAACTCGGCTTTTTCAGCACGGATTGCAGGGTTTCATGCTATAGGAGGATCACAGTACATTAACACGAGGAACGTTTTAGAGGAACTGGCCTCAAGGGGACACGAGGTGAACCGCTTAATTACGTAACACGAGTCTCGCTGCACGCTCACATAAGTTTGTGTCACTGATTTGATGATAATCTCCAATTTTTTTTTCTGTTATAGATTTATTGTACGGATATACCAATTTATGATGATAATAGTTATGATTATTACAATTAAACAATAATACTAATAATGATGGCACTAATAATAATTCTTTCTATTTGTTATTATTATTATTATTATTGCTAATAGTCTCATTTCAATGTTATTAGAAATTTTTCTCTCTAATTTTGGGCACCTGCAAACAATATAACCCTTTTTGACTGACCAAAGTGATAAATTTCTCCTTTCAAGATCAATACACATTTAATGAGAAAGGTGATTTATTTGACTATGTACTTGATTTTGAAAGGTTGTCCTGTTTGTTGCATCATCTTTTAAAAAATTCAAACCAAGTGAGAAAGTGCCACACAAGATTTACCAAGTGCCATATAAACCAGGCTTCATGGAGAAAACTATGTTACCACTTGAACTGGAGGGGAAAATGCTAGAGCTGATGTTCAAAATGAAAGATGTCTTCCAAGTTATGTGTGAAAGTGCCTTAACTTCTGCTGAAGTTCTGAAAGAGCTACAGGATTGTGACCTCCTCATTTATGATACTACCTCTTTCTGTGCTGCATTACTTGGCGAACGCCACAACATCCCCCTTGTTGAGTTGTTGCCTTTGTCTCCAAATGGCCCAGCTGCTTCTTTTCACATGATACCCATGCCACTTTCTTATGTTCCTGTTCTGTTAACCAGATTTACCAATAAAATGACTTTCATGGAACGTGTGACAAATTTGGCATATTACTTTGGTCAGAAACTATTTATCAGCATGGCAATTAACAAGCCAATGAATGCTCTTAAACTCAAGTACAACATAGTAGTTGAAAGGAGCTTTGAAGAAGCCATTGCCAATGTAGAACTGCTGTTGATACTAGCAGATTTTGCGCTGGAATATCCCCAACCTCTGTTACCAGGTAGGAAATGTTAGGGTGGCTCACAGTACTTTTACAGTACTTCTTCTTTCTCATCACATATTTACAACCACAAGCTATTACAACTCTACATCAGTTACTGGTAAAACTATTAAATGCATATGTTTAATTTCAGAATTTTCTCATTTACTAGTGAGGTAGTATTGTCACAGACTTTAGGAGTTGAAAGAGCATAAGATTCTTATCCCAAGAGTTAATTGCACCTGGATTTAGCTTAGAATTTTTTCCTGATTACATTTGGCACCCAAGGATTAGGGAATTGAAGATTCCAAAGATTTTTCAAGGTTCCTAAACAGTAAAGACACAATCTTGTCTCAGTTCCTGTTCCAAATCTAAGAACCAGAATTAGTCAAATAAAGCATTTAAAAGCTAAAAAGATTTTTCCAAAACATATCTTTGACAGGCCAAATCATGATTGGGCCACTGAATGTGAAAGATGCTCAACCTCTCCCCTCTGATTTAGAAGAATTTATAAGCAATTCAGGAGATAATGGTTTTATCATTTGTTCCTTTGGTTCAATGGTGGCATCAAGCCTTCAAAGGGAGAAAGTAGACATGTTAGCTGCAGCGTTTGGAAAACTGAAACAAAGAGTTGTTTGGAGAATTAAAGGTATTAATTTTAGAGTTATTGAAAATGTATTTTCTATCTGCTCTTACAATCTGAGTTACTTCTTAAAAAGTCATTTATTTCATCAATTGATCTGTTCAATGCAATTGTCATTCCATTTCTCTGTGTATCAAACAGCAACATGTTGATGCTTACTCCAAACAAATTACAGACATGTTAACTGCAAGTAACTTCAATGAATAAACCTCGATTCCAAGAAAATGCAGCAAGCAAATGGCAACAGATAAAACAAGAAAGCAAATTGGAGTAAATGAGAAAATTCAAGCAATCAGCAGCAGACAAAATTTATGTTATCAACAAGTAAATTGTAAGTAAGGAAAATGAGTGCAACCAGTTTGCAATTGGAAAGCTCAGCATTGCTGACCAAGCATGCAATGTCTTGAACTTGACTCTCTGATATGAATCCTTTTTCTCTTTGGTAGGTTACATCCCATCTGATCTCAGCTCAAATGTCAAAGCTATGGACTGGTTACCCCAGAATGATCTTCTGGCTCACAAGGACATCAAAGCTTTTGTCTCCCATGTGGGACACAACAGTCTTTACGAGTCTGCATATCATGGAGTTCCATTAGTGGCATTTCCACTGGGTGGAGACCAGGATAGTAATGTTAGGAAAGCAGAGCATTTAGGCATTGGTTTAGTTGTGGATCATAAGAGCAACAATGATGTGAAGCTGTTTGAAACAATTGAGAAAGTTATCAATGAATCACGGTGTGTAATGTGGTACATTTTGTAAAATCAAATGTTTTATTTTGATCAATACCTATAGATTATGTTAATAGTAATTTCTTGGCAATGTTTCACACCTAGCCATTTTGGGATAGTCCATGATTTGATGGCAGTTGCTGCATCATCAGCACTGGACTTGACTTATTGCATAATGACCAGTTGGTTGTTCTTTTTCATTATATGGAAAAACATCACATAGCATATAACTTAAAAAATTTCTCAGCTTAAAAAAAAATCTACCCTTTCCACAGATTTAAAGAAAAAGCAAAGCACATTTCTGGTTTGTTGAGGGATCGTTCACAAACACCTCTTCAAGAAGCTTGCAACTGGATAGAATACACACTCAGACATGGCGGAGCTAAGCACCTCAAAGCCCAAGTGTTTAAGGTCCCCTGGTATCAGTATTATTTACTTGATGTTATTGCCTTCCTGTTAGCAGTAGCAACTGTTACTCTCATTGTGATACGATTAATATGTAGATTTTTATGCCGCATGTGTTGTAAAAAGGGTGATGGTAAAACTAAGAAGGATTAATTTTACTATCTTGTTAGTAATCCTCTCCACTCACATCTCAAGATAATCACCCTTTCTCACACAGCCCCTTCACCCTCACCAACACAACAGGCACATCATTACCAAAGGCAGAGCAAACCATTAAGGTCTCTCTGCCATGCAAGTAAAACACATACGTAATTGCCAACTTGTTACGCACGGCTAATAGTGCTTTTGCAAGTACCTGTGTACTGCTAAAGCTAAGAACAGGTCACAAATAAACAGAAATGCTAAGCAGTTTATTTCCAAACATTGGAAAAGCTCAGACACTGTGTACATTTTACAAGACCCTGAATTTTAAATATTGAAATACCTTACAGAACTACTACTGCTACTGTGTTTAATATGCAAATACATCTAAATATCAAAGTGTTTCTTCTTACAGTAAACAAAAATGTGGTTAATAGTTTGACCAGGCAATAACAATCAATCATGTAATGTGATTAAGCAAGCAATCACATAACATGACAGACCATATACAATCCCCCAAAAAATGAAAGTGATCTCTATGGGAGCAATGAATGTAATGCAATAATTAAGCATCAAAACTGAGCTCCAGATTGTGAAAGCATGAGTGATGTAAGCTGCAACCTGGCAATCTAGCCTTCCAATATTTTCCTTCTGGAAGCAATTACAAAAGAAATTTAACTTGAGAAAGATTTCAATAGATTAAGTACCTAATTCTTGAACATTTGCAAAAGTTTAGGGTCTAAACTTATCAGAAGTAAAACACAATTTTGAAGACTTATGCTAGGGGATAAAAAGATAATTGCCCTTAAGAAGTATGTAGAGTTCATTTCCTGTAACTTTGACAAAATAAAAGGCCCATACACTGTATGTATCCACTCTGTGGAAAGTCAAACTAAACTTACATCAGAGTGTAATTAATAACCTGGCTCCCATTCAGATTAAATGATGCATGAGAAACAAGAAAAAATTGGCGAAAAAGAGCAAATCATAGATCCATCCTACACTGCATATTCAGTTCCCCTGCCTCAATACCCAAGCTGTGTTGTATCCACATTTCATACCACAAGTACACTAGCTGAAACCTATTCATAACCTAACCAAAATACTACATTTTAACACTTTGTACACCATAGTTTAAATCGTCTACCCACAGCCTAAAACCTAAGATGGGATAATTTCAATAGCTGGCTCTTTGTTTCTCTCCCTGAGGGTTTGGGATCAAGACATGACAAACTGCTTAGAAGAGTTCATTTTTAGGTTACAAAAGGATGAAATAAAGTGACTTTTTGAATTTGATAGTTTGATAATTTTGAAAAGATTTAATTATGTTATCCTAAATTTTACAATGCAGAGAATCTTTAGACATGGGTCATTTCACAAGAGGTGTTACTCTGTCACTATCATCTGAACAACTCATCTCTTTATATTTTTTAACTTCCTCCATGTAAGCTTTCCATGCTGAAGATTTGCTTTCTTCCTGTTAAAGAAAAACAAACAAACAAGGATTGAAAAGTTGGCAATAAACCATGTTCATTTATGCAGGGATGGTTCTTGCTTTGCTTTTTAAGCAACATTGCTATAGCCAAGGGGAAGTTGAATAAAAAATTTAAGGGGAACAAATGGTAACAGTGGCAGAATGATGATGAAGGAATGGTTTACAGTAACTGGATGGCTGATGATGAATTGTTCTGAAACACAAGTAGGGTCCACTGGATTCTAGATTCTTAAATACAAGGTCTGGGTTCTAGCTGTGAACAAGTCAGTGTCATACACTTCAGTAAAACAATTTACTCCTGTAGTCCTCTGTCTTCCCAGGGACCTTATTAAGTACTAGATACAAATACAATACATTTATAAATAATAAAGAGTTCAAGGAGGGGGTGACCTGCTGTAAACTGGCTCTACCCCATTCTTGCTAAAGTAACCTTGGTAATCAAAAGAAGCTACTTAACCCCTTTACTCCCAAGATCTTAATAGTAATTCTCCTTACTGTCTGCCATATAGTTCTTGTGAAGTTAGTTTGGAGAATTTGGTATTGGATCAACTAATAATCCCCTAATTAATATTTTCCTTTATTCTCATCACTTGTCTGTTAGATATTGTATTGATATTGTAAGGAGAAATTCTGTCTTGGTCACTCATGAGAGTTAAAGAGTTAAGTTGATCTTGGAAACAGATTTCATTTTGAGTGAGATTAAAAGCAAAGACCCTAACTAACATAAGTTAACAAGTAGTGTTCTGTCACCTCTTCCTGAGCCTTTTTCACTGCTTCAGCTGCTTCTTTGTCCTTCTTCATTTTCTTTGCATGGATCTGCCGTGAAGCACCACCCATCTTTCCAACAGTAAATTGCCTCTTACCCTAGATTTGTTAGATTAATACTAATACCATAAGACAACATCAAGCCCAAACAGCTGGTAAATGTCGCTTGAAATGTTTTCCTTCTGTACATGATTAAAACCACCTTGCAACTAGTGAATTGAATCCCAATTTTTTGGTCAATAAAAAATATCATTAACTTAACCAAACAAACAAACATGCTATCCAAGCTGCATGGTTTTGATCAAACAACAAGCAAGAATATGTAACCAAAGTTTGAAAATGCCAAGTCTTCCTCAATCAAAGTTAAAAATTATTTTCATCTGTTGACAAAAGCAATGGAAGTGCATTGCAATGTAGAATGTTGGTGTGCAACCCCTTGTCATCTTACAAAAAATTGAAACAATTTCAACTTTGAAATAAGACAAGATAAGAATAACCCTTAACACCCTAACATCAGTATGTATATTATCCATACTGTTCTTTACACATTTCTGAAGGTGCTGACGAGGAGAATTTGTTTACCGATCAAAAGCTTCTTTCGTTGGGGGTCACTTCCTTTATTCTCATGATCTTAATGTGTGATTCAGGGGTGATATTGTTGGGAGAAATTAGATGCTAGTCGCCCTTAGGGTTCTTGAGATATTTAAGATTATATATCTTTCTCGTTCAGCCGCGCAAAACGAAACATTCCACATAGGAATGTTTCCCCATAAAAGTTACAACTCTATCATTCTTTCCTCACTAAACCAGACCTGCTGTGTTAATGGAAGCGAAGGCCCAGGAGCTTTTCCATCGTTATCTCTCTTTGTGCACGATTCTTTGTCCACTGTCTTTTCATCTTTCTTTTCACAACTTGTACTTTGCCCAACCGTACTTTCAGATTTCGACTGCAGTTTTTGAGACTCTGCTTCCATTCGTTTCTTAAAAAGTTCTAGAAAGCTACCATCGTTGGCAAATGTGTTTATCACAGTCGGAGTACTCGTATTTTCTCCCGTAGTATCAGTTTTAGATGGCGATCGCTTAGCCGTTTTTTCCTTCACGGACGCCATTTTTCTGCGTGATAGATGACGAGTGGAATTTCGCCGAGACTTCTGGGTTTTTCATCCTCGCCAAGAGAGGGATTGTGACGAGTCACCCCTAACTAGTTTCCAGTGTCCTCACCGTTCGATTTAAGGAAGTTTCGCCCCGTTGCGGAAGTAGGTCAAGGCGGGCGAACCTGTTTTACTTCAGAAAGCCCCCCCTCACGAAGGTGGTATCGGGAAAACTTGGTAGACGTACAAAGGGGGAGTCCGCAAGGTGAAAATTAGTACTAATTCCGAACCCAAGACAATTAATTTACTATCACAATATCCAGATGCTAACTGCTATGGGACTCAACAAACAAAACTATTCATTCTAGCAAACTTTATTTTGTTGCATATGAGAAAGTACAGTAACGATTCCATTGCTCTTTCATTAAAATCTCCTTCAACAACGAAACTCTTAAATGAAATTCGACAGACACAAAAAGGAGTTTTCCACTCCGTCTAAAAAGGCAAATCGAATTGCGTGTGCACTGACAATGCTAAACTAAAAGCCTTAAAAAATATTGATGTAACTGGATGCAGTATCTTGAATTATTTATTTAATTCATTGTTTTAATTTTCTCGCTGAAAAAACGATGCTAAAGTAGCAGCGGCTTGGTAATCATCGACAGAGTGACAGCCTCCATCACTGTCCGAGTCAGAGGAGGAATGGAGCTTGGGCTTAGAGGTGACGCTGCTGTCAGGTGAAGGAATGGGTCTGGACGAGAGATGTGTTGGAACATATCCGCGTGGATTTGGAACAAATGTCTTGCTAGAATCTTGAGAAGCAGCACAGGACATGTTTGAATACTCCAGGCCGAGAAGCCCGCCGGGTGGGAACCAGGAAGCATTTGTTGTAAACGGATGATAAAATGGGCTCCACGGCGTGAAAGACGTTTGGGTCAGCGGACTGTGTGGTATAATGGCAGATGGTGCTTGAAACATTGTACGCGCACTGAAATCTCGGTTGTCTAAGTGCATCTCTGAAGCAGTGGCAACTGGAGCGGGTTTGTTTTTTATTTCATGTTTACGCCATCTAGCTCGACGGTTCTGAAACCAGACCTGAAGATAAAAGAGGTTTTGTTGAGAAAGATCTCACAATTACTCTACAAATAGTTTTCCCATTATAGGCCACGTGCAACCCCTCCATTTTGAAGTTAGCTCGCGTGCGGAATCTAAAATTTTTACGCAGCACACTAACATAAATTTTTGTCTCACTTATTTCATTTTTACTTGCGCGACCAGAACATCGCAGAAAAAGAAAAAGAACGCGTAGTCTACTTGTGTTATCACGACTATTCCATGTACAGCTAAAGAATTATGACTCAAATTAATCATGATTAACCGGAAGACTACAGGAAGGTTAATGCCCTTTTGACACCAGCAAAACACGATGAGCCAAGCCAGGTAAAGTGAATGAAAATAAGCAACAGAAAAGTAAAAACAAAACTTCACTTGTAGTTAACAAACATCAGTGAAGGCAATTCCTTTAAAAAAATGTTTAAAGAAAAGTAGTGTTCAACAAAACAGCTTAAATCGTGTTGTAGTGTTGGTGTGAATGCGGTATAAGTTGCTCAATTTACCGGAAGACTGAATGGAAACTTGTCAACTTCTGGATCATGTATAATTTGATTTTGACCATCCACGAACTTTTTGAGAGGAAAATGCCAGAATTCACTAAATCTATTCCATAAAAATGGTCTAACGGACCAGCAGGGCTCTCACGAATTTTAAAGTATACCGTGGTTTACAGTTTTCTTTCAGGTTGCTCCCTTGTTGTTCAGTGTCGTGGGGTGAAGATTGTGACAGGAATTTGAATATCCTACCTGAATTCTGTCCTCCCCGATTTTAAGTTCTCCTGCAAGATTCTCGCGTATCTTGATGCCTGGGAATCTTTCATTCGCAAACGATTCTTCCAGCCGATCCAACTGTTTATCGGTAAACGCTGTTCTTCGGCGTCTTTGACGTGATCTGTCACCTGAAAAGAAAAAAGACATGTTAGTGTTACCGCTTATTACACATCTAGTTAGTTAGTCTTCATCATGAGCTAGCTGAATGACGTATGGTTAAATTAGCTTCGTTCTGTTTGCATGTCAATAAATATTCAGTCAGAGCTCAAGAAATTTATAATCAAAGGGAAAAAGAGACTAATAACTGGAAAGTTTTTATATGTAGCTAGCAAGGTCTTGGTAATAAACCGCGCTGTGAAGTTTTAAATTCTAAGCTTCCTTGTAATACCTAGAAGATTTGTATTTTTGGTTTGACGATCCATCGAAAAGCTTAAATTTGACCGATCAAAGTTGCTAGACATAAGCCTAGCACTCTAAACAGCAGTGATACTGCACTCAATTCTGTTTTCACCATCATATATTAATCGTAAATGGATTACTCTTTAGAAGTAAAGGAGTTTTCGACCTCACACGTCTATCGCTGCACCCTACCTTCGCTTTTCGGAGCCGATCTTTTGATTCCTTTTCCTGAGTTCATGCTGGACATGACAAATTATCAGTTTAAAGAGGGGTTAAGTAGTGAACAACTCGTGCAGTAAGCTTCTTTCGCAAGTCAGAATGAAATGTCGGTCTGCGACGTTGATTCCTTTAAATAGCCCATGACGCGCGTCGTTATAAATTTAGGCGGGGCGACAAAACTTTCCATACAATAACTCTGTTACTGACTTAATTAGGAAATTAAATCTCACCTCTTTGATATTCACTTCCTTTTCATCGTGTGAGTTATTTCCTCTTGTTCTGCATTTATTCGCACCTTATGTTTTAAAAAACAATTATCTTCGATTTTAATTGGGAGGTGTCAAAATGTTGCTGCGTGTTAGAAAACGGTTATTTCGTGTGAACTGCATAAAGTTCTATTATCACAACCGTCAGGGTTCTGGGTAATGAAACACTGTTCCTGATCGAATCTACTTTTGGAAATAAAAAATGATGGCAAAGTTGCATCATAAGTACAAAAAGCAGAGATAGTCATTAGTGTTAGAAACTCCAAGTAAAGGCGTTTTTGATATCTTCAAACGCTGAAGTGAAAATTTCATTTTTGTTCTTATTGATTTAATTAGAGTAATGAAATGATATAACTTTTAGGGATGGCAAATTATGATTCAGGTTTCTAGCGTGTTCCATGCGTTCAGTGAGTAAAAAAGGAGCGAAATATTAAACAGCGCCACGGTAGCGCGTCATTTTCCAATCGCGCATCGTTTCAGTTACTTACTGAACGGCTACAAAAGGGATACAAACAGTTGGCTCACGTGAATATGTCGAGTGTAGGGTGGACAATAATTGAAATAAAAAGAAGTTAAGTTTAGAGATGCTGAAAAGGTTTTTAAAGAAAGGATTTATTCTCCTGGGAAAATGATGGAATAGCTCACTTGAGATGCAGAAAGATCAAACAATCTTCGCATCTGATTTTCACCACAGATTACAATCTTTACAATTTGGTAACTGATCCTTATGAATTTTTTTTCTTTACTGGGTTAAATTGGCGCTAATATTTTCGTCGAGGAAAAAGCGGTTTCTTGTGAAAATGCTCCCATTCAAAGATCAAGGTGAGAATCAGAAAGTGTGAAAAGTTCGGATGTGCCAAAATTTTCCTCCTAAGATCTCTCACCGATCATTTCATGATGTTTTATGCTCAATCGTGATCTTGTAAATGCTCCTGCAACCAGAGCCTTTCTTGAAAAAGAGACTGGTGGATTTTAAGTGCCACTCAGTCCCTGAACGTAAAAGATCTGAAAATTTGAGCTGTTTTGGAAGAGATTAAACGGTAAATGTAGAAACATTTCCGCTGGAAGCTTTTCTCCTTCCAAACCCTAAAACAGTAGTGGTGATGTGGAATTCATTAATGCGCGATCCAAGTTACAGCATTTCTAATGTGGTCTTTTAAAAAAATTCCTTTGCTCCCGGGGGGTCTCGAACCCCCGACCTTCGCATTACTTCAGCACCCTCGGCGGACAGCGCCTGTACTGCTTATAAGTACGACGCTCTAACCAACTGTGCTACGGGAGCTTGGATGAAAGACAGATAGAGATAAAAACTCATTGATTAGCTAGTGCTTCGGAAAATTCTACCGATAATTTTCAATCATTCTTATAACTCTTAAAGAGTGCATCACCATTACTAAGTTAAGATGAAAAACGTAGCATTCATAACACATAGTGCACATCTTCCGGTTAACTCGTCTTCACGCGCGCGCTCGGTATAATGGTTCATAAGCCATGATGGCTAAGCCAATGAAAATTCTTAAATTGCATTATCTAATGATCCAGTTTTTAACAAAACCCAATATCTGCTGCAGATATTGGGTTATCATGTCAACTTCACAAGGTGTTACCTAAATCTGACAAACTTGGCTATTCTCTTTATCTGCTTGGATAATTGTGTATTAAAGTTCTGAGGAGAAGGTTCGTTTAAATCCCCTACTAGTTGAGTTAAAGGGTTGAATGTTGCACAAGAGACTGAAGGATTCGATGATCACTGAATTCTAATTTCTTAGTTTCACACTCAGAACATACTTTATTATCAATGAAGTTTTGATCTGATCTTCTTGCAAAATCTTTATCATATGCTTCCTCCAAGAGGGACAACACCTCTGTTAAAAAGGTTTAGCTGTCTCAAACTCGCGTAGCCTGCAAAACAGGCGCTGTTTAATAGCGTTTTTTAGAGAAGCGGAGGCCTTGCGCTCGGCGAGTGTGACTCCGCTTTGCGCTTAGTTCGCGTGATTCGTAAGGATAGATTAGATGTTGGCAAAAGCCACTCTAAGGGCAAAGGGTTGACTGCCATTCCAACGATATGACAGCGAATTCTCTCTCTTGGCTGCTCTACATTCATCAGTGAAGTGGTTATAAGGATTTAACACGAAAGCAGCAGGCAATTCAAAATTCAAAGGTTTTCTTTATTCTGGGCCTATCTTTTTTAGGATTATTTTTATCACACGGAGAACTTACACACTGATTAACTGTGTCGCCAAACAGTTGAGTACTCTGAATGCACTACACTTCCCATTGAGACACACTTTCTTTTCAGCTGTTTAGAATTCAGATTTAAATATTCTATACCTTCTGAATTCTATTGCTCGCCTTAGTCTCTATTCCTTTACTCACGAATCTGCTCAGAGTTTGCATGTAAGTTGGTAGTCCTGTGGGATCTATCACAATCCTTCAAATAGATTTAACTAGTGTGCCTGTTATGGACACAAGGTTGAATTGAATGCTAGGATTTTCAAGTTCTGGGGGGAAAAGATATTATACTGCCCAAGGGAAAAATTGACATTTCCTTGAAACTACTTCAGTTAACCACAGATTTCAGAGACAAATTGTCGAAGAGAAACCTTAGAATTGAAACTATGGACGTTGAAGAGATTATTTGAATTTACGTTTACTTGCTTAAGTTATCTTTGTACACAATAACAGTCAAGATTACGTAATTCATAACGGATATAAAAGTAAATTTTTACAAAATATGTCTAGTATAAAGGTCAATAAAAATATTGCATAAAATTTTTGCTAAGTTTAAAGGAGTTGGGTCACGCTTATTTCGAATTCCTGTCACACAAACCAGTTTTTCCTGTCACGGAAATCTAACTGTTGTGACAAACAATCCATCCTTAAAAGGGGCAGGGGTGGAAGGGGAAGGGGTCGTTCTCCAACTTCTCATAGCCAGTCTACTTTTGGAGAAGTTACATGTTATTGACTTGTAAGAGGCGCAGTATGACAGGTTTCCAAACAATTTGGATACTTTTGTTAGAAAATTGAAAAGATAATTGATGAATTGACAACAGCTATCATTCACCTCTTGTTACACTCAGATCCTAACTTCAGAGGTTCACCTGTACAGACAACCCTACATACAAACAAATAATTATATCACAATATTGACTACTGTGTTGCTGGAATCGTCTTTGATGCTTGCAAAGCTTTCTTCCATATGTCACAAAATAACAACAACAAAAAATACACCCACAATTGCATGGGGACATCATTCTATGTGATAACTATTTTATAATCTACTATTCTAGGATTATGCTGCATAAATCTCATTGGGCCATCTTGTTTAGAATTGGAAGAATCTGGTCAAACCGGGGTCTCTTGGTTGGATCATTATTCCAACAGATTGACACAAGCTTTGCCATCTGTGTAGATACACCAGGTGGAACAGATGGTCTTAAACCTTCAAGCGCAACCTGCAATTGATAAGGTTAAACAATTTAATTATCTTAAACAAATTAGCAGCACAGGAAATATTGATGACTAGGAAATTAATTTAGATAGGGTTATGTATCAAGAGATTCATCTCCACATCAACATAGAAACTTGCTCAGGCCAAAGAAATTTAGCCAGAGAGTGCTGTGAAGTAACCAAAGAGTGTTCTGATCTGAATTGCTGAATGTACAGTCCAAGAATGTAATTGAACATTGATCACCTTCATGCCAACTTCCATGGGTGACAAATGACCAAAAGGCACTTCTCTTGTAACTAGCTCCCAAAGGATCATGGCATAACTCCACATGTCTGCTGAGCGTTGATCAACTTCTTCAGGGCTCTTCTGTAATACTAGAGGATGCACAGTGAGTTAGAATTCTGTGAAAAATGAAACATCTTTTAACTACAGCTGCTCCTGAAAATAACAGTGATGACAATACCCACATCAATTTCTAAATTAAACACGAACTATTTCTCTTCTTTTCAAGCCTAGCAGGGTTTGCACTCTTTCAATAATTTAAAACTCCATGACTAATTTTCAAACTCCATGACTACCTAGACTTGGAAAATAATGTAAGAACTAAATTTCATGTCTTTCCAAGATTTCTGTGACACAGATAATTCCTGATTTGAACATATTACCTTCTGGGGCCATCCAGTTTGGACTTTCAATCTTGCTAAGATTCATGAAGGAAAATCTGTAATCAGCCATACTTATTCTTGCTGTGAGATCATCATCAATCTATAACAAATAAAGCAGATTACAAGTTCTACTTCACAAGAGGAATAGAGATGGACAAAAAACACGAATATCTCCAAACATAACATGAATACATTGATAGAGTTGTCTTTAGAAAAATGTTATACATATCTCATCAGAACTGGAGCAGAAACTTGTGATAGATTCTCATCCTATTCATGGGAAGTCGCATAATACATACCATGACATGTGTGCTTTTAAGGTACAGCCTTGGAATAAGCTGGTCCAAAGAATGTAGGTATTCCATTCCTTTGGCAATGTCCAATGCAAACTTCATTGCTTGCTCATGGTCCACAATAATTCCTGTCAGTATCACAAATTTGATGTCTTAGAAAATGCAATTGCTTAATATCTACAAATAATTTATTGCACAAGGGGCTTTAGTAGTTGGGATTTTTTTCGTGAAACATTCATCGCCAAGTTTGAATAGTAACAGATTAAATCTTGAGCATTGTGAAGATGTATGATTTCTTCTTTTTTAAATCCCAGATACAAAAGGCAAAAAAGGCAACCGTGATCATCACAGGCCTCTGTAACAAACACCTTTGCATCTGCTTTTTCCAAAACAAGTCAACTTATGATATTGATAGGTGCACAAATTCAAACCAGACTGAAATTGTGTTACTTGTCATGGGGACAAGAATCTTTGGCAAGGATGAATATTTTACAGAAATTATTCAAGAACCATGAAGCAAATTGCTGTAGATGTGATTTGACTTCACAATGTGTTGCAGTGTCTTATTGACTAGAATATACTAGCTTTAGAGGAGCCTTTTCTCTCACCTGTTCCTTCATGTAAAACATTGTAAAGTGAACCAAATGGAAGATACTGTGAAAGAACTATCAGGTCCTTGGAGTCATTCACTGCACCAATTACTGGTAGGACATTTGGATGGGAAAATATTCTGAAAACCAAAAGGAAGTTTTAATTGAACCATGATAAATGAAATGATCTGATAAATCTGTCTAAGTGAACTGGACTTAACCTTTTAACTCCCATGAGTGACCAAGGCAGAATTTCTCCTAACAATATCGATACAATATCAATCAGATAAGTGATGAGAATAAAGAAAAATATAAACTAGAGAATAATTAGTTGATCCAGTACTAAATTCTCAGAACTAACATTATACGAATTGTATAGTTGACAGTAAGGAGAATTACAAATTTGAACTGGGAGTTAAAGAGTTAACACACTGACTGACAATAACTCCTCACTTGACTCTGTTGATGACTTCTGCTCTGGTTGTCAAAATCTCTTGTCACTACTACTGACAACAGTCCTTCTCTGGACTTCTCTCACCTGGGCTATGAGCTATGAGCTATGACTATGTGTTCTAATCCATTAACACCCCCCAACAAATAATTATACAAATATTTCAATTAATTTACCTTAATTTTGAGTATTCCTCACTGAAATCTCGTGATATTCTTTTGTTGACCATTCTAATGGCAAGTTTTTTGCCAATAATATTGAGATCATTCCACCTCCCTTTCCATACCTGAAAAAATAATAAGCCAACATTACAACTGCAATATGTTACATATACATTTTACAGGGTTGGGTTGTTCAAAGCTAGGTTAACATAACCCAGGATAAGTGTGAAATTTTCATACAGCTCGACATCATTTCAGTTCTGAAAGCTAAAAAGAAAACATTTCAAATCTTTTTACTTACAATTTGATCATTGAATGTTCTGAAAAGAAGAGGGAAAATTTTTCCTAAAAGGCTTTTGAATATAAAAATAAAGAATCCTGGATTTAAATTTTAACCCTGGGTTGGTGCTAATCAGCCTTTAAACAAATGGGCCCAGAGATCTAGTAAGTAATTGATTTTATCTATTACATATGAAGCAGTCAGGTGGTAAAAAGGTCAAGACATCACATTTGATGAATACAAAACAGATAACCAGGAACCATTGACTGGAATTTATGATCACAAAGTTTGTTCTCCTGAGATTTTTAAAATTTGCCAATTTTTTACTGATTTGTCTGTGACTTTGTGACCTTTATGACAAATCAAACACCTAAAAATTTCATAGCTTCAAATCTAGCTGGCGTTTACAGCCTAAAGATAAAATTCAAAACAGAGAGTCTACATATTGAAGTAATACTTAAAATAGTTTTATTGATCTAACTAAATACTGTCTAAATACCTCGCCAGTCACTGTTTTGCTTAATTTTGTTGCCAAATCAATTTCCTTGGGTTGAATCCAGGAAAGTCTGGACTTAATGTCCCGTAAATCTGTAAATTGAACCAATTAAAAACACAAATTACTGTAAAATTGCAGTTAATGTAAGGAAATCAAATGTATATGGTGTGCAAGTCAAAACCTGTACACCCCAACTGGATTAGGTAATCTTTATCAATGTTAAGTTCATGTCAAACTACAGAAAACATCTTTCTGTCTCACCATCTTTTTTTCCATGCTTTGAACGGCTATCTGTAAGATGACCAAATGACTATAGTGAGACATGTATCAAGCACTTTCCAATTCCAGATGTTTATGGAAGAATTTGTACACCTAACTATCATGCAAAGTCTAGCTTGAGAGAATCTTAAATTGTGTTTGTAGGAATAATACTTTTAGAAAAGTCACCTTTGTGAGGAATTCTTTTGAGATCTTGTCCAAGTTGTGCTGCCAAGTCTGAGGAGCAAGGGAAAGAGTTGATTGTTGTTTAATAAAAACAGAGGAATCTGGTTTGGTTGGTAACCTTCAATCACCACTTAAAACAATATTTGAACATTAACCATCTCACCTCTTAAAATTTCTGCCAGGAAAGGTTTACATTTATCAAGTGGGGTCTCCCCGTATTTATTGCACTGTGATACCAAAGCACCTCTCTTGACTAGCTCCTATGAAAGAAAACATAAATATAGAGACAATCACTTTACATCTCCTAAGATAGCAGGTTTGTAGCTATGAAATTAAGCTGCTGACTGAAATTTCAAGTGACGTGCCTCAAAGATGGCTGAGCTAGAGACCCAGCCTGGTGATGAAATTTTGTTCCCTAGCCAGCAATCTGGCCAATTTTGCCTGCAGCTGATGCTTGGTGACAACCTAGGCGACACTGCCAAAAGACTACCCCAGTATGATGAGCGTGCATGGTCTCTTGAATATGCCCAAATCAATCTCATTTCTTTTGGTGGAAGTAGATTTGATCTTACAGCCACTGCAATTACCATTAGGTATTTAAATGGCTGCAAAATCTTATGAGGGTCTAAGTATCGACAATGCTTTAGTAATTCTTGGTAACAACAAAATTATGTGTAAATCAATTCAGAGTTTCAACATCCCCATCCCAAGTAACCCCCTACGTTTGGTATTTGCACCTTTGAAGATTGGCTCATTTGAACCCCTGCCTCCGAGGCCAAAATTGCGTTCAAATACCCACCCAATATTAACCCTTTAACTCCCATGAGTGAGCAAGACAGAATTTCTCCTCACAATATCAATATAACATCAACCAGATAAGTGATGAGCATAAAGAAAAATATCAATTTGGGGATAATTAGTTGATCCAATACTAAATTTTCTGAACTAACATTACAAGAATTGTATGGTTGGCAGTAAGAAGAATTACAAATTTGAGCTGGGAGTTGAAGGGTTAAACCATTCTTTGTGTGATCAATGAAAACAAAATCATCTGGCAAAGTCACATATCAATTATTGCTGCCACTATTGGGTTTTTGCAAGTAAGCATTAATCCACAATGTGAAAGTTGTCTTTTCTGAGCCATTTACTCATGAAAGCAGACTCTTTACTCATAGACTCCTCCAACAAAACATGAAAACATTTCTGCCCCACCCAAACAAGGTTAAAATTACCAACCCCCCCCCCTCCCTCCTGATCACAGACAACAGTCAAATGCCTGTGGGTTACATAGGCATTCGGGAGGGAGGATGTTGAAGCTTCAAATCAGTGGGTGCATTATATGCCAGATTTTAGCATAAGATGTGGCAAGATGTCAAGGGTAGAACAATTTCTACCTCACTAAGCTGACACAATTTGATTGCTACAGGCATGAACAACCTGGTCCACTTTCAACTTTCCTAACCAATTTATTTATTCATCCATTGGTACTCAGGAGTGGCCAGGTTGTTAATCATTGTATGCTTGCAATATTGTCAATGCACTTTACTTAACAAGAATAAAAAAAAAAAGGCATAAACGAGGGGAAATTGATTGAAGGTAATGCTTAATTCTCAGGACAAGCCAAAAAATTAATTTTTTAGGATAAACGTCATCTGCCCCTGGGCTTTCCAATACCTTACCTCTGCACATTCTTCAGAATTCCAGAAGCAGGCATAATGGAGTGGCGTATTTCCATGATTATTGACCCCATTAACAGGACATTTATTTTTCAAGAGCTATAGGAGTAAACAATCATGAGAATTAGTAAACAATTTTAACACTTTATACCTCGATAATATCATCCATTTTCTCTATACTGCTATCGACACACTTCCCAAGGTGCTGACAAGGAGAATTTGTTTAACAATCATGTGCTTATGTGTAATTCAGGGCTAGTCTCTTTTAAGGGTCAAAGGGTTAACTTCCAGTAGTGATTAATATGTAACTTCTCCCTACAATACCCATACATTATCCAGCAAACAGGTAATGAGAATACTCAGACTTATCAAGTAGAAGTTATTATCTAGATCTAACAACGAATTCTCACAACTAATTGACAAGGTAATGTTTAGTAGCTTGAGGGAAGAATTGGCAATCAGAACCCGGGATTTATGGGGTTAAAGAGTTTGAGAGGGTGGGAATTAAATTCTGAATTTTAAACAATTAGAGGAAGAATAAGTTTTCCAAAAATCAAAGGCACTGACTTGGTACTTGAGTATAAAACGGAAAGGTAAAACTGACTCAGACAGAAGTTATTGTATATTATTAATTGTATAATATTAATAAAACGGTCTATTAATAGCAGTCTGATATTCATACCCTATCATTTATGTCCTTAGTTTCACAGATTAGATAAGCACATCAGTTAAATTTCAGTTAAAATCAAATTGCAATTTAAAAGTGTTACAGTGTACGTGTATCTACTGCGCTGAGTTATCCGCTATTGAACAGGGTGTCATTCAATTTGCACAACAAAGAGAACAACTCATTTGTTTAACCTCATCCAAGTTTACATCACAAAACACTGATTTGATCTGTTGTTTACTTTACGACTACCGCGTTAAGTTACTTGGACGAAAATTACTTCGCTAAACAGGTCATGTTTACATGTGTTGCCCGCAGAAACCTGATAATTTTCAAGTTTGATGACCAAGACGCAGTCTCACCCTTTGTATAATTTCCTTGTTGCCTTTGCTGGCCGCCAAATGTAAGCCATTATCACCGCCATCGTTTAAAGCAGTGATCCGTGCGCCTCTTGATAAAAGTAGATCAAATACTGCGGTTTGGCCTTCTCTTGCTGACCATAACAAGGGAGTAAAACCGTGATCATCTCTGTATTAAAATAAGATGATAAATTCACAACTTAAAGGATAAGAAAATGTAATTCACACAGAACTCACACGTTCAAAGCTGAATCGTTCTCTCTCTTAAACACTAAATATATCCCAAACACATAAACAGATCAAAAAGTACAATGCACGTCGACGGATCATGTTGTCCAGGAGTAGCGTAAAGGCAAAGTCTGGAAGCTGAAACTGAAGTAAGGGTAAATGGCGAAAACGAAGTGATTATTCGCCTTCTTAACTGCTTGTCACTCTTTTCTCAAACAAAGCTGACAGCTTTTTCACTTTAATAGAACTGTTGACACTGTCTGCTTACCCTTGATTCAAATCGTTCGAAGTGTTTTCGAGCCATGTCTTCACAAATCGAAGATTGCCTTCACGCGAAGCAGAGAAGATGTCCTCCATCACTCGGAAATCACTCCGATGCGTACAGATATAGCCGCCTAACTAGCTAACAGAACGGAAGCAATTGGCAATACGCATAATTAGCACACTACGCCAGATCAAAAGGCAGAACATTTGTTAGGGCGGCGAGATGTAATCACTTGAGGAATGGCAAATATTGTACGCTTGTTCGGCAGTCCGCTGACTAGACAAAGATGATGAAGGGTGTTTTTTTGGGCGTTGTTTGGCATATCCGCACCGAATTCCACAGAAGAGGCACTCGAGTAGGAAAAAACGGATAATGCATGGCATATAAAGTTCTCCTATTGCCCTAGATGAATATTCTATGGTGGCTGCGAAATTCTTGCAATCTGGTCAGCAACTTGGGCAACTCTTTTTTCTGATGGACGCTTTCTGATAGTCCCTAAACACTCTTCTATAAATAATCAGCCAAAAAGGGGCAAATAATTCTTCACCCCTCAGCAAGTACCAGGATTACAAATTTCAAATCCCTAGCCTGTCATCTTATTCCATGATCAGCTTGGTACACTTGTAACTTGCACCAGAAATTGAAAATCTTGCAGGAAAGATCAACGCTTTGAGAGAAGTCAATTTCATGGCAGTTTCACTGAGACCAACATAAATCGTGATTTGGCATACTGTACAAATCATTTACTGCCAATCCAGAATCTGAAGTTTTGTCTGATTGGTTGAACACTGATTCTCGCTAACTCACATGAAAAAGAATGCCTCATTGCAAATTAAAATCAAAAGAATCTAGAAGTCAGGAGTTCTTCTTACAGAGACATAAATTTTTTTCAAAAGGATAGTTTGTGTTCATGGTATTTTTTCCAAGTGTAGAGAAAGGTTTTTAAACATGATCACAGAACAAGATCTACACCTTCCACACTACCATTCCCAAAACAATAGAACTAATGAAATGTATTTCAAATATTCAAACAAACCATAATCATTTAAATATTATATTTTTGTTTCTTGTCATTCCTTACAGTTTTAGAGATAATACTGTGATATTTTGAGAGCCTGAAATATAAATAGTCTTTACACTCCATAAGAAATCTTTGTTGCATTTCTTGTGCTAGAAATGTCTTAGTGGCCCTTTTACTCCAAAGATCTCTTTAGTAATTCTCCTTACTGTCAACCATATAATTCTTAAGATGTTAGTTTGCAGAATTTGATATTGGATAAGCTAATAATCCCCTAATTGATAATTTACTGTATTCTCATCACTTATCTTCTTAATATTGTATTCATATTGTATGGAGAAATTCTTACTTGGTCACTGATGGGAGTTAAAGGGTAAATGAAAGATTCTCCTGAAAGAGCAGACAAAGGGCAACCTCTAAGAAGATGGAACTCATGTACTAGATGAATGTGAGAATATTTTAAGAAGCTCATCAGCTGCCATTCCTGGTGTGACTTCCCCATCTGCTACTAATTTTTCATAGTTAAAAATTTCTCTTTGAACTTCAGGATTTGATTTAAATCTTCCCATGATTTGTTCTCTGATATGATTCCACATCCAGACAACATGCTGTTTACAACGTCTTTGTTCAAGTTCACCATTTTCAACCATAATATTGTAATACTGCTGCATAGTTTCCCAAGCTTTCTCAATACCATCACCAGTTCTGGACGAAACACGGAGAACCTGAAAGTTCAAAATGAAGTAAAAATAATAAATAATTTATAATAAAAAATGTTTATCAACTTCTTATAAAAATGGTGAAAATAACAACAAATATTTGCTATTGAAAATCTCATCTCATTACATTAAAATTAATATTAAGTGACCCAACAAAATAAATCATAAAAAGAAAGAAGAAGAACTGTATGAAATTATACCAAAAAATGTAAGTTAAAATCCTCTGACTCCTAAGAGTGATTAGCATCTAATAATTTCTCTTCATAATATCATCCCTGAATCACACATTAGGGTCATGAGAATAAAGGAAATGATCATGAACTAAAGAAGCTCTTGATTGTTAGACAAATTCTCCTTGTCAGCACCCTGGGAAGTGTATACAGAACAGTGTGGAGAGTACACAGACTGATGCTAGGATGTAAAGGGTCAATCATACCGGTGGATTCCACTGAGCTGACTTTTTCCTTAACAATTTCAGAGCACTGATGTACTCTGTTTGTATTCTCTGAGCTGGAATAACAAGTTCTCCATCACATTTATTGACCAACACAAGATCTGCCATCTCCACGATGCCTTTTTTGATTCCTTGGAGTTCATCACCACCAGCTGGTGGAATAAGAAGAACAAACATGTCTACCATGGAGGCAACAGCAATTTCTGATTGTCCAACTCCCACTGTTTCTACCAAGATAGTGTCATAACCAGCAGCTTCACAAAGAAGAATGGCTTCATTTGTGCTCCGGTTTACACCACCTACAAGCATAAAGTTATAAAAGATCAGAATATGTATTTTTTCCTATAGTAGCACAAATGCACTAGTGAGCTCCAGGGGACTTAATTCTGGGCTTTTACCAAATGGGTATATTAGAGACTGTGGTTTAATATGAACTTGTTGAGAGCCAAAGTGAAAGTTATTATTTCATTTTTAAATTGTCAACATCTTGAACCTTTAACTCCTAAGAACTGATTGTTCTCCCCTCTAGCTGCTACACACTTCCTTGTAAATTAGTTACGAGATGATGTAACTGAGGTGTTGGATTATCATCATCATCATAGTTCACTACATCGTTAATGTTGTTGTTGTCGCAATCTTTACTGCAATGTTGGGTGAGATCTCAGAAAAATTATGGCCACCTGGGCAGACACCTATGAGGAGGCACTTGCTCTATATCTGATTTTTGACATTAAGGCAGCTCTAGGAAAATTTGAGATTACCCAGCGTTCCACATGAGGGGGACGGCCTGATGTACGCATTGAGATTTCGTGACAACTCTGTCATTCGTGTCTTGTCGCCCAGTAAGGATCCACCTGTAGTAGAGGATGAAGGATCCACAGCCAAAACAGCAACCCGATGCTTTCCGTTGGTTAGAAAATTCCCAAAAGTCTCAATAAATGTAGATTTTCCACCTCCTGGGGGGCCTGATAAACCAATCCTAAAGGAGCACGGCTGGCCATTTGAGAATGGAGGTGCATGTTTTGAATGTTTAACAACCCTGGAGAGTAGTTTCTGTGCCTGGTGATATTTTATTGGATGAAGAGTTTCCACCAATGTTATGGCTTGCGCTAAACTTCCACGGTCGCCTCGAATGATTCCCTGAAATAACCGCTGAATGTGATACCCTTCGTCCGTAGATTTGACTTCGAGATTTGTCGCATAACTTCTGCTTATCAATTTGACCCAAAGAGGACGTCTGTAGGCTGAAATACGGGTAAAATCACGTAAAACAAAACGATAAGGCATTTCAGATTTTTCGTCTAATCCGCCATCTTGGTGTCAAGACCTGTTTCACTTGAGAAGGACTGGGTATAGTTACGCTTTGTCACGCAGTTACTCACGCAATTTTGTTTTCGTGATAAGCAGCTGCTAAAATAATGTTTGCGTAGGAAGCTGGGGGCGAGTATCCGGCGATCCTTCACGTCGCTGCTTTATGTATCTGACAGTCCACAAATTGGCTTTCTATTATTGGTGGCCTTTAGAAGTTGGCATTCAACAAAGAGCCACATGAAAAGATGAGTTTAAGTATCTTTGGTGTGAAAGAGCGTCAGAAATTTTTCTGGAAATATTATCGCCGGTGAAATGGATCAGGACGGGGACGCCGTCATCTTCACCTGTAACGACCACCATCTCAAAACTTTCAAGAAGATGGAGGGTTATCGCAAAGATTCCAAACTATGTGATATTATTTTGGTGGTTGGGGAGAAGAGGATTAAGGCTCATCGACTCGTTCTCGCTGCTTTCAGCGATTATTTCAGCGCTTTGTTCACTGGTGAACTCTGTGAGAAGGGACAAAGTGTGGTGCATTTAACTGACATGAATCCCCAAGCTGTTGAAGATCTCGTTCAGTATGCCTACACTTCTCATATCGAAATTCGCGTAGATAACGTGGAGAACTTACTCTCAGTGTCGTGTATTTTACAGATTGATGAAGTGAAGGAGGCCTGTTCTGAATTTATGAAGCATCAACTGCACCCTAGTAACTGTTTGGGTATTCGTGCTTTTGCCGATGGACACGGTTGTAGTGAACTGTATAAAATCGCTGATGCGTTTACGAAGGAGCGATTTGTTGACGTTGTCAAAAATCAAGAATTTGTGCTTTTGAGCTCGGAATGCGTGGCTCGTCTTCTTTCAAGCGATGATCTGAATGTTTCTTCTGAATCGCAAATTTTTGACGCTCTCTGCGTGTGGGCAGAGTACGATAAAGAAAGTAGAAAGAAAGTATTGCCGAGATTGTTGGGACTTGTACGATTGCCTCTACTTGCGCCGGAATTTCTTGTTGATAAAGTGGAGATGTCATCTCTATTCCGTGATATCAGCTCCTGTAGGGAGCTCATTATCGAAGCAATGAAATACCAGCTTCTACCAAAACGGCGATTTCAACTTCAGAATTCAAGGACAACCCCAAGAAAGTCTACAGTTGGCAAACTTTATGTCGTTGGAGGTAAGTCAATATTTTCGCTTGGCTAATGAGCTTATTCAAATCAACTCGGTGTTTCTAGATCGTTTGACTCTTTTGTTATTAAGAATGATAAATTAAACTTAAAATGTTTTTGTCAAGTGGCTGTTCCCTTCTGACGTAAATATGTGAGTTGATGAGGTAGTATATTGTTCCGAGGTCGAACCGCACAGAGATATTGGTGGTTTTCATGATGATGAACAATACCGCACTCTCAAGTGGAACTCTGAAAAGGAAGCGCGGTTGGATGAAGTTCTTTTTCTTGTTGAAAATAAGCTTTTTATTTCCCCGTTAAAATAATTAAATTTAAAGGAATTTTAAGTGGCTTTTGGTGGGTGCGGTTTGAAAAAACATCGACGAAACTCGTGAAAAACTACAAACTTCTTTTTTTTGTTCAATTTTAGTATTTTCGTGACTTTCCAAGTTTTGTTCAGGTGATCTGGAGTTTGTCATCATAGAAAGGCGATGCTTTTCAGTTGATGATCGTCTGTTTTCTCAGTGCTTGCTCTACTTACCAGAAAAGTAATAGTATAGGGAGAAACTGGCTATTAATCCACAGTAGAGTTGTCACTTAAAATTGATGTTACCTCAATAGGAAAAGGCACATCTTAGGTGGGATGTTTTTGTTTGAACTTCCCAATCCTCAAGATTTTCAGTCATTATCTTTATTAGCAGTGTTTTGAATAAAAATTCATTTGACCTCTTATGGAATGGCTGTTTGGATATTTTCCAGAACAGTTAAAGGAAACGTGCTTTCTATTGCGTGCCCGCATGCAGAGATTTTAACCATAATCAGCTTTGCAAAACAAAAGGTTTCAGGCCAGAGTCTTTTCTTATATTGATGGTTTTGTGTCATGAAAAACAATTAGCTTTGCTTCTTAACCTTTATTCTCAAAGAAGTGACAGAAAAGAAAATATTGAAAAAATACTGAAGAACCAATATCAATATCATAAAATATTGCAAAGTTGCATCCTATTTATTGAAATTACTTGAATAAATAAAGCAAACCTGGGTATTGTTTTTTCCAATTGTGCTCAAATATTCTCATCACCACAAACTTTTTGCCTCCTTTTGATCCCGCAGTGAGTGTTTTGTAATCTTTTAAATGAGTTATTTAGTGTTCTGTTTATTCCCTCTTCATGTGACAGCTTCTTGTAATACTCTGGGTATAACAGTCATATGATCACATTTTGTTTGATATGCTCTCATTGTAATTTTTGCAAATTTGCCCTAGTTTTGTGAAAGATGGTTTAAAACAATGAAATATCTAATATTTGAGGACTTCTCAAGAAATAAACAATAAGTTTATTCATTAAAAGTAATTAAGTTGTTCTGCCATTTTAGTCTATTGTACATGGCTGTTAAGTGTTATTGACTTGCTTTTAATGGTTTTGGCCTCATCAACAAGGCTGCTTAAGGTATCTATTATTTAAGAGCATTTTAAAAAAGAACATTAGGCTCTTTTCTTCCCAATCTAGGAATGGATTCATCCAAGGGGGCAATCCAAATTGAGCACTATGACCCACGCAAGAACCAGTGGTCTGTGGTGTCTCCAATGGTTACAAGGAGGCTGCAGTTTGATGTGGCAGTGGTAGGTGGTAATCTCTATGTTGTGGGAGGCAGGGATGGACTGAAGACATTGAATACTGTGGAATGTTACAATCCAAGGACAAAACAGTGGAGTCCTGTGCCATCCATGAGCACTCATCGTCATGGGTTGGGCGTGGCAACCTTGAATGGTCCCCTTTATGCTGTGGGTGGCCATGATGGCTGGTCTTACTTGAGCACGGTGGAAAGGTCAGTTTGTAGCTTTCAAACTCTTAAATGTAATGCAATTGTAAGGGTGCTTTATTTGTTCTTGCAATCTGCTGGGAATAGTTGACTGGGATAGAGGTGGGTTAATACCAGTGGAGTGTTCACTTTCATCCAATTTTTAGAATGAAATTTGAGATTTCCTGATTACTTCCAGATTTGACCCTGATACTAAACAGTGGAGCTTTGTTACACCAATGACGACAGCTCGTAGCACTGTGGGAGTGGCAATACTTAATGGCAGACTCTATGCAGTTGGAGGAAGGGATGGTTCTTCTTGTCTGAACTCAGTTGAGCGTTATGATCCTCACACCAACAAATGGTCAGTCACTTGCCCAATGCTCAAGAGAAGGGGAGGTAAGTCTTTATTGAATGTTGTTTAGAGTTTTATGGATTTCAAAACGTTGTTCAGTGTCTTTTTAAAATTTGTTGTTGTTAATGTCATGAGTGCAGAAAAAGGGGGAACCTTTTCATTTGAATCTAAGGTTTAAGAATAATACTGGGTTTCTTTATTTTATTTTATATCATGTATTCCAGTCAACTTCACAACCATATTTCTGTACAAAGGACAAAAATGTTCTCCCAACAGCATCATTATACAGGATCAAGTAAAGCAAACATGGGCAAAGCATGTAGTTCAACAAAGAGTTTTCAACCTTTTCTCATATGGTACTCTTTTGTTTTCATAATGAAGGTGTTGGTGTGGCTGTTCTTGATAATTTTCTGTATGCTCTTGGGGGTCATGATGCACCTGCCAGCCAAGACTGTTCTCGCCAATTTGATTCAGTGGAAAGATACAACCCTAATACTGACCAGTGGACCATGGTTGCACCCATGATCAACTGCCGTGATGCTGTTGGTGCAGCATGCCTTGGTGACAGGTTGTATGCCATTGGTGGTTATGATGGATCCAAATATTTGAGTGCAGTGGAGTCGTATGACCCTGAGAAGAATAAATGGGAAGAAGTTGCTTCTCTTAACTCTGGAAGAGCTGCAGCCTGTGTGGTGTCTGTATCAAGTGATCCAGTAGCAGGTTGATTTTTTGGCCAACCTTTTTGGACAAATTATTATTTTTATTGACTTAAAAGTAGTACTCTTCAGCTGAGAGATCTGGAAACTGTAAGCACCCAAAATATTTATGGAAATCAACTGAATGACATATTGAAAGATAACTAGACTGAGGAAACTCTTCTCTGAGTTGTTTGTGGTTTACTCCAGAACCTATCCCTTATCTTCAATTAAGTTGTGAGTGATTAAGTCACTCATAACACAATAAGCATTCACAAAATATTTTAGGTGTTCATGGTTTTTTCAAGTTTGATGGTAGTTTTTGCTCTTCATTTTTGAATAGTTTTTGCAGCCCATGAATACACAGAGATACTAATTAAAAGGATGAAGGGTTTTATGTTCAGTATATAATTTAAAGTATTGTCAAGTATTTATCAAATAAGAAATATACTATGGTGCAATCTGTTTGGGGAAAAAAAAAACTTAGTGTCCATTATTAGAAAGTGATAGCCATACAAATGGAAATTGACAGATTTTTACATTAGGTAAAATAATGGAAAGTGCATTCTTTTGTAAGATGAAAAATGTTGTAGTTAGTTTTTAATTGAACTGGAGATAAGGAAGTGTTTGAATTCTTTTGAAGTATTTTGGAGACAATCAGGTCTTGTGCAAATCATTTCATCCCTTTTCTCCATAAATGGTTAGAGTTACCAGAGAGTTATTTGATTTTTCTCTTTTTGTTGCTGTTTCTATGATGAGAAAGATATCTTCGATCCTCCTTGAAAATAATTTTTTAGACAGGCAATTCTTGGTTGATATTTGATTTAATATTTTTGTTCCAAAGCATTCTTTTTACGTAAAAGATTATTTTATTTAGTATTTATTATGTGCAGAGTCTGAAATTATCACAAGTTAAATCCAAAACTACTGACAGAAAAAGATGATTATGAAATATTGAGTTTCTGGTAACATTTCTCAGTTACTCAGATGTTGTTGGCATCATACTGATGGGGCAGATAGCTTTGAATAATTAACTTGAGAGACAAAATTGACAGAAAATGGATATAAAATAATTTTATTTGATTTATGATAAAGTTGGTAATGATTTGATCAGAAAATTTTGCAGGGATTTTATTTTTTACATAGTTATGATTTTATTTTTTTTTTACAGACAAGTTTTTGCAGTCAAAATGACTGGGGCAGATAGCTTTGAATAATTAACTTGAGAGACAAAATTGACAGAAGAATACTTATAAAATTGATTTATGATAAAGTTGGCAATGATTTGATCAGAAAATTTTGCTGAAATTTTATTTTGTACATGGTTTTATTTAAATTTGTTTTTTAAGGGACAGGTTTTTGCAGTCTAAGATTACTAAAACATCTGTTGGGGACTCAGTTTTAAAATTTTATGTTCACCCACTAGCACATTGACAAGGAAAGAAATAGTTTTTCTTATTTGTGGAGTCATACAGGGGTGGGTTTCATCTAAGATTTCTTTAACGAATGACTCTATGAGTGAGTCTGAATCTGTATAGTTTTTCCTAGAGTTGGAAGTAGATTTTTGTGTCATTTATTATTAATTAAATTTTTTTTTCCTAGGGAATTCTCGTTTGCAGAGTTAGTACTCTTAAATTAAAGCCCACAAAATGTTTATTGCCACTGGTATCATGCATTTATAATCAAGCTTGAGCTTGAAATTTTCAACAGCTATTCATGTAAGAGCACTTTGAGAGTATAAATGTTTAATGTATGTTGTTTTCTAATAACAGTAGTACCAAGCTTAGAGGTTTGTAGGCTTAATTTATTTGTACATAAGTTATGAGAATAAATGACAAATATTGATGACGTGGAGGCAATGCTGATTTAGAGAAACTGTATCTCTTATTAAATGACTGAATATATTTAAGTCATACACTTGAACTGTGGATAACAAAGTGAACATGAAAGCAGAGAGCAGTAGTGAAAATGAGGCCCGGGATTAACATAATGACCAGCTCCCAATTGGCTTGTAAGCTCAGTTGGTAGAGCAATGCACTGGTATTGCAGAGGTCGTGGGTTCCTATCCCATACAGGCCTGAAATTTTTTTAGGCTTTATTTTCACTACTGCTTAACTCTTTAACTCCCAATTCTCCCTTTTAAGAGCTACACTTTTCCCTGTTAATTTACTGGGAGAATTTAGCATTTGATCAAGATAACAACATCCACCTGATAAGTTTGAGTATTCTCATTACCTATTTGCTGGGTAATTTCTGGATATTATTATTAGGGAGAAACTACGTGTTAATCATGCCTGGGGGCTAAATGGTTAAGAAATGTTCATTACTGTGAAGATTGCCTTCATATTCACTGTGTCACCTATCATTCCTAACATTACAGAAACAGGGGTAGGTGGGAAGAATTCAAACATGGGTAAAGGTGTAAGGTTAAGTCTGTGCTCATGCCAAGTGGCTCATCTCTCCAGAGCTTTTTCCTGGTGTTTTTAGCATGAAGCAACTTGGAAATATCCCTACTCCCCCCTGGATATGACACTTGTCCATCGCAAGGCTACCCCCTGTCACATCATTAGGCTTCCCTGATAATTCTACTTTACCCATCCATCCATCCATATTCCCGTGTGGAAAGAGGCACTGTGAAACTAAACCGTTTTGCCCAAGAACACTACACTCTGATCAGGACAGTACAAATATTTTTCAATAATTGCTGGATTTTCAGAAACAGTAATTATTTTTTTTACAAATTTAAGGTTCCCCTGATGGAGTTCTTCATTATCAATAAAAAAAAAATCAGCAAGGGTCTAATTTTCCAAAATGAGCAAAGGACTTCTTGTACAAGGGTAAAGCTGTACTACAGAAACAACAATACATACTACAAACAACAAATCCAAACTTTTTTAATTATTATTTTGGTTAATTAAAATCACTTTATGTCAAACACCTAATGAAACTACACATCAATCAATACCAATTGTTTTGAAACACTACCAGACCAAGGTGTAAATGTTGATGTCACATTTCTCAAATGTGAGATAGAAAAAAAAAATTACATACAACGACATGTTCCATTACAACACTTTGGTAAATAAAATATGTAAACATACTAGAACTACTTCAATCAAATTTGAAAAGGTATTTCTTAATTCAACAGTGATATCACTTAATCACTTTCCATAATTAACCTGTAAAAACCACTCCTATTTGGTGTTTGATCGCCAACTTCCAAGTTTGGAGCTGTTATCCAGAATCTATAAATAACACACTGCTGTAATTTTACAAGAATATCAAGTATGAATTATGAATGCATATCATTATTACTACCTGCTATCACTACCTATTTCTGCATCATAATTCTTGGAATCATAACCTTCTCTGAACATACTTACTTACAATAATTATTACAGTGAACAAGTTAACTCAAAATTGTTTGTCAATATTTAATAGGATGCCAGGAACTCATCAGCTAATTCCTGTCAATATGAACAATTATAGTTGATTAAAAATTTCAGATTCTTTTATCTATGAAAAGTACAGTTGGCTTACCTTGAGCCATTTTGCACAAGGATTTGTGAAAGAGTGCGAATGTAAAATTAACTTTTGTCTCAAAATTCACAGAGCATTTGGGTATACCCCATCTATCACCGCTAGACACAACAAGGCTAGCACTCGATATATCCCTGACATTTCAACACCTAAAAGACAAAGGCTTTCCTGTCAGAAATCTTGGGTGCCAAGCTCTTCTTAGACTTCATATGAAGACAATACACATCAAGTCACCCAAAACTTTAGCTCACTTGTTTATGGTACCTGTGCTTTGCAAGAGCACAGCCTCAAATACCAAATAACGTCCCCACCTTGAACATGAATAGGTAGAGTCCAGTCCAAGTGTCTGGCAAGGTACAGTACAACTGCACACTCTTGATAACAGGTTGGCATTAAACCCTGTAATTAGTGCTGGAAACTTAAGTATTGCCACAAAATTGGTCAGCAGCTTTCCATGGTGAATTTTCAGTGCAGAAGACTTTAGCCCCAAGGAAAGGGCGAGGGAACAAAATCAATATTTACAGCATCTTGGGCAAAGGAGATTTCTTCACTGAGAGTCTGTAGAAGATTTATCCATCTTTTCGTCTAGAGTTCTGAGATAGTCACGAAGTTTCTGAACTTCCTCTCGTAACTGTCTGTTCTCGTCTTCCAGCGAAGCAGCTCTTTCCGCAACACATAACTCTTTCTGTCTCTTGAGATCTCGAGATCTTTTGGCAGCTTGATTGTTCTTCCTCCTTCTCTCCCAGTATTTTTCATCTTTAACATCGTCGTTCACTGTCTGTCGGGAGATCTTTCGCGGCTGTTTTCCCTCGTCATTGCCAGCTGTTGTATTCCCCTGTTTCTCTTTGGTATCTTCTGCTTTCCTTCTCCTTCTTCGCGGTGCACTTGTTTTCTGTGCGTCGTCATTTTTCACTGTTGATTTGCGCTTTCTCTTCTTGGGAGAAGCTCTCTCGGTCTCATTTGAATTAAGGGACTCGCTCGAGCTTAAAGAGGCAGGATTTTCAGAGCTAACACTCTCACCTCGTCCCTCGTCCGTATCGCTGGTACTACCTCCGAAGCAATCTGGAGATAGCTGAGGAATATTCGAAGGTGGAAAGGTGTAAAACGGAGGGACATCTTCATCGTCCACGAGATTAGCGATGTCTTGATCGATTTCATCTTCCGAGTAATCACTCTCAGTTCGAGAAAGGCCAGTGCAAAGATCTTTGACGGCCAAAAACTCATCCAAGTCCATGTAATCTTTAAGAAAGTTGGCGGTCATTGTGATCAACCTGACGAAGAAATAAACGTACTCTTTTTCAAATTGTCCAAAACAACATTAAGCTTAGATGTTCTGTCTAATTTCTTACTGGCGACTCCGGTGTTAAAACTTGCGTTAAATGATAACTAGCGTTAAAATTTTGGAGACGTTAAGGTACACTTGCCTAAATTTTGCAGAATTGGTGCAAAACAAAGCTCTTCATTCGTATCACACCAGGTTCGCCGCTAAAGTTTTCGTCGTCGTCTTCCTTCCCTCACTTTTTCACTCGTACTGCTATTTTTCAGAATATGTCTAACTTATTTCACGTGCCGACGGTAGAACCGATCGATACTACCTCATCCAGGAGAAACTCAGACAGGACACTATTGGATGGAAACTTGGAACAATCAGCTTGCTTCACGTGCGGAATATATTTCCTACTGGAGAAGTCACTTGGAGATGTTGGATAAAGGTGATTAGGTCACGTTTTGGGAACACAGCCCGTGAAACGTGCGTATGTATTGGGGCGCTACACGCGACTGTCAGTGCTGAAGGAAGCGAGAAAAAGTAAAGAGTTTCGAAAAGGTGTTCAGTTAGCTGCAAACTGTCTTTTTATTTTCCTTCCTTGATTGCTTAGGCATTGGGAAAATTATATTTCTCATAATAATGCCTAAACCTTTTTATTTGCTTTGAAAAACCCACTAGTTATTCAGACAGCTGTGCTGAGTATGCTTTCCGATATTGAGCCACATTAAAATCCAGACAGACAGTGACCATTTTTGTGTGAGAAAATTATGCACCTGCGCTTAGAAAACGAACACTTCGATTATCTGTGTAGCGCGCCGAAAACATTGGAACCTCTTCACGCTTCCAAAAGTCGCAGGGTAATGAGACACGCTTCCTTGCTCGCGTGCATGAGCCTCGTGAGTTGTGAAGGTAACATACGACTACGCACGTGTAGGATAAAACTCTCCTCCCTCCCCTCCCTTCCATTAAATTTAGCGAGTACCCGTATGTAGAGTAATCATCGAGTCAGTTTTATCAAAACCGAAAACCAAACTATCAAGTTATCAATTCGGTAGAAATCCAACATCATTCACTGACTTGCACGAGAAATAAAATTAGAGAAATTTAATTATTTTAGAGGTTGTTATTCAGATATAACATTTATTGCTCTCCCAGGGTTAGATCTAGCAAATCCTGTGTAGTAAACCTTCATCGCTAAAATTAGGACAAGCCTATTATAGGCCATGTTTTTGACAAGGTCATGTTGTGACTTGAGTTGTTTGTTTACAACTTGGAGAACAATGTCAACGTGTAAAAGTGGAACAAACCACGTTTCACACGTGTCACATCTGCAATCATGCGTAAAATACTACCCCACTCCCCATCCGGAGAGATCTCGCTCTCAATATGACTGTTAATGGCCACATCCGATAGCGAACATGACAACTCTTCCTCTCCGAAGTCGGAAAGCAAATTTGGACATTCTTATGAGGATGAAAGATTTGCAAGAGCAGAAGAAACTAAAGTAGCTGACCCTAAAGGCTCTCCTATTGTTTGGGGTAGACAAGAAAGTATATTTCTTGCTGAATCTTCGACTTCTTTGGAAGACATTCAAACTATATACACTGAAAGGTGTGAAACGGCTCCACTTACAACCGCAAATGAATCAGCAAATACGATAACAGAAGAACCAGATTTTTCTGATGAGTTTGAATTAGTTGCCGATTTTAGCGAGGGAGACTTTACAGTAGAGGTAAGATTATCTGAATTAGTTAGAATTAAGTTTAAGCCTCTCTGTAAAGTTTTGTTTACTTGAAGAAAATCAGATTGAATGAAAAACATTACTATAACGTTTAAATTTTTGTACAAATAACTTCCAGAATGAAGGCAATAGTGGATCATTAGAGGACGAAGCGCGGACCAATTTCTTAAGTAAGAAGTTTAAAATTCTCACCTCATCCCAGACATGCACCAGGACACAAACTGACACGGAGGGAAGAAGTGACGATAAAGTTGCTGGTATGTATATTTCGATCTTTCAAAGGCGCCTAACTCTAACCCAAGTAAGCCAAAAATTTGATGTGACAGCTGTATTTTACAATCACAATCACTGAGAAGTTTGTGGCGCGACTTCCGTGTAATCCCATTCTTCATTATGCCCGGTCAGTTGTTTAGTAAAATAAATTCCTTCAGGTGGCTAGTTAACGGCTGACTATGTTCTCGGCAGAGAGATTGTGTGAAAATTTATTATTTGGCCGAGAAGAGAAGCTTTAAGGGTTATCGTGAAACTTTCTGGAACTATAGTCATTACAGAGTTTGATTTCTATATTGTGTGGGAGACGTAATCAATTTGGTTAAAAGTGGTGTATGGAGGGTGATGAGGAAGGCAGAGCACCTTTTGACAAAACTAAGATGAGTATATCTCCCTGCTGCTGTCTGAACTATTGCAGGACAAAGAGATTTGAATTCTGTTTTTAACCTCTCAGCCCAAAACTGTCAGGAAATCAACTTCTGTGCAAGGAAATTGGAATTGGTGGAAACAAATGGAAAGAGAACTGGAATAGGACACTGTGAGTGCAATCTGTCTTCAAAAAAAGTGTTACAAAATTAAGTTGTGTAGTTAAAACTAAAAATATTTAGGTGGCCAAGTTGAAAAGTGATTAGCAAGAACTGTTCAACTATGAGCAGCAGGAGAGAGAAAATTGTGCATCAAGAGTTTAATTCCTGAACATTTTTTTGCTATGTTTGGAGAATTAAACTAATTGTGATATTTCTGTAGTACATCAGTGTCAGTGTCTGTATCACCTTGGTATCAGTGAAAGAAGTGGATATTTAACTTGCCACTTTGCAGTGTGGTAAATATCCACCACTATTTACTGACATTGAGATGAACAGTTGTGAATCATACTACTGACAAGTATGAACCCTGGGTTAGAGTGCAGTACTCTGTTGATAAGGTTACAGTTTGAGCCTGAAGAAGACTTTTATTTATTTATTTAAGGATTTGTACAAAGCAGTAACTGAGCAAAAACAATAGGACATAAGTCCCCTACTAGGTTTAAGCTCCAACCCAACCCCCTTTTATTGGAAAATTAACTTTGTGTACACTTGAGTGCTTTCCTGGTATCTTTGAATCATAGGGTCTGGGTAAACTGTGCTAATAATAAAGAGTTCCATCAAGTTGATTTTGGTGATGGTAAATTGTCACAAGCACAACTCTTTTTTGTAATCAGCTGACCAGAGAGTGATGGCAAAGGCAAAAGGGATGTCACATGGACAAGATAAACCCATTGAGGGTAACAGAAGAAAGATTGAAAATTTAATGATTGAGAACTTGATGAACAAGGCAAAAAAGGTTAGTGTAATGGTGGTGTTTAAGTGAATTTTTCATCATTATAAAATCTTCTAGAGGAAATATACACCCTCTGAAACCAAAACATTGTCCATGTTTATGAGATGACCTATTTCACTCCCAGAAGTGGTTATCAATACCAGTGAGAATACAGAAAATTATGAATTAGCCAGCAGTTGTTGTCTTGGTGTTAAGACTAAATTCAGGATAGATTTGAATTCATCTTGCCAGGATTTTGAAAAAAAAAAACCAAAGGAACCCATCAGGAATGAATGCCTCCCTTCCTTTATTTGATTTCTAATGTGCATTAAGTCTTAAAATGGGCCCTTAATTGAGAATGTTGGGTAAACGTTCAACTAGATTTCTGATATTTAATGTTTTGCTTACAGCTTAAAGAATGGGACTTCCACAATCCTAAACACTGCACTGACTGCAGGTAATCCTACTTTTTGCATATAAGGGTTGACAAGCTCCTTGTTCATTTTTCCAGAACTGGTAGTTCATTTCTGTGACGAGGGAATAACTTCTCTCTTCTCTGAATTTTCTATTAAGGAAAATGAAGGCTAGTGTTGCAAGCAAGACTTTTTTGAAAAGAAAAGTGGAGATAGCAAAGAGAGCTGAGTTTGAAGAGAGACTTCAGTTACATTTGTATCACAAGGCAAGTTTAATGTAGGGATGTACTCTTTCAAAATGATCAAATTCTATGACATTCCATGACCCTTGAGCAGGTTCAACATATCCATGTGTCTGTTCTAACCCTTTTACTCCCAAGATCTTATTTAATTCTCTACCATACAATTCTTATATTGTTAGTTCAGAGAATTTGGTATTGGATCAACTAATAATCCTCTAATTGATATTTCTGCTTGCCATAGTAATGGGATTGTGGGATACATTACTGTTTAAACACTCTTGGAAGTCAATGGTTAAAAACACAAGTTTGAAAGTGGAGATGTACATGGCATATTCAGGGTTCACTAATGAGAGCAATTTTGTTTTTGTGTTATAGGATTCTGCTACCCTCCTTGCTGAAATAGTGAATTCTTGTACAAAGCCATCTGAATCCCCAGCTGAAGTTTGGGAAAAACTACTTTGCCCAGAAAGAAAAATATGATAACTGGTGTAATACCAATATTAGTTACCAAGCTCTTGGCAAGTGGAGACGAGTAAAAAAATGTGGGAGTAAAAATCTGAAGGATTCTATGTACTGTAATGTTGCTTATTCCCAGAAAGAAATGCCTGGAGTATAAGTACTGCCATCTGTGCTAAGTTAATGCATTTCATTGATGCCAACTGAAGAACAGTTTTATGAATTATGGTACATCAACCCAGTTATTGTATCGGACAGATCATTAATGAACCATTATGTGAGTGACATCTGCAGGGTTGAGTGCTGTTGCCCTCATTACACTCCTTACTTTTATCCTGTTATCCTCTGGCACAACCCACAATTTAGTCACTTCCCAGTAACAAAGAGCTTCAATTGGCTTTATATTGACATCAACAAAACGCTTCTGCATGTCATAGGTACTCAATGACAGACATTTTTTTTTTTAAATACGAGAATTTCCTGAGTGACTGCATGGATACATGATTAGTTTACGATTTTCCTTGCTAAGTTATTGAAAAAATAAACAAAGGTTAGTGCTTATTTAAACTTATTTATTTTAACTCTGTCAGTAAAACATGTTATTAATAAAAAGAATCTTTACATGATAAATTTATTTCATTTGACTGATTCTCTGACTGAATTTAGTGAGCACCAGGATTATTGCTGGATAAAAAGGGCCAATGAGCTTCACTTCCCCCTTTAATTCACCAATTAAAACAGGTGAAATAAAACCTGCCCCCTCTCCCCCTCACCAATGAGATACAATTGATAATTAGGGGCTATTTACACTAAAACACTAGACAAATTATATAGTTAAATATTGCACAAAAAAATACATTGTCTTTAAACAAAATGTCTTTTCACTCTTTTATTTATATACCTGTACTGAAATTTACAGAGTTGACATGGCTACTAAATTTGTATTTCTCTACCACACACTCAAAAATAATGATAATGATGAAATTAAATTAATTTCTTTGTTATACAAAAGAAATCTTCACATTTATCAGCACTAGTGCTATACCAACAACTTAATGTCACTGATGACTGCAAGTACAGTAGTATACCCTCCTAAATACTTGTTATCAGAGAAGTTGCTGCCATCCTCTCTACAATAATTTCCCTGCTTGACTTGCTGAGAGCAACATTCCTTGCTACCTTTAAGAGCAATCCAACTTCAAATTGAATCAGGGGGAGGAAAATTATTGTGCCAGCAGGTGTTTATAAGGATGAAGGCAACAAAATCCCAAAATTTAACTACAGGCTTAAAAACCTTTTGCAACAAGGCCTTCACCTGTTTATCAAATAACCATTTACTTCCTACTAAAACAATTCTAGAAAAGAAACAAATTGGTAACCAAGTCACTGTAAACTGTTTGAACATGCAGCTTTGTGTTAACTACTCTTTCCCTAACTTTATCTTTCATTACATACATATCTATATCAATTTCAGTTTGTTTTAACACAGTAAATAGCAGAGTTGTCTCATGATGGCAAGATTAAATGGAAGGTTTAACAGTGTATTAAATATTTCACTTACATCACATAACCCTTGAAAGGTATTTTACCTAACTGTCATGCATTGTCAATACTGTTTGCTCTTTCATGAACCATTAAGCTGCGTAATTTTCTTTTTAATGCAACAAGAAGAACTCTTTATAATATCTTTTAACACCTGAGCTTTATACCACTATGTTTTACTGATAAAACTAATTGTAATTTAGCAGAAATTAGTGGGTTGTGTGGAATGGAGATCAGAAAGAGGAGTGGTTTTGTATCATGTTACACAAATAATAAAATCATTGTGGCTTTAAGAGAATTAGCCTTTTTTACCTATTTCCTATTTAAGAACTTTGGAAACCTAGGTGCTTATCCATCATTCATCAAAATATTCCTTTAAGAAAATAATAGCCACCTCTAATTTTCAAGGAAAAATAAGGCCTCTTATGAATAACATCTTGCTGATGAAATTTCATGTTATTGGGCTCAATAAACAAAGCTGCTTTCGTCACTGCTGTGACAAAAAAAAAAAAAAAAGAATGGAAAACAAGGAAAAAAAGGGAATTGAGAACCATTTTGCAACATATCAACTAAAAATATACTTTCCTTTTACCCTTTAACCCTAAGAGTGACTAGCATCCAATTTCTCAGCACAATGTTAACTCAAATCACACATTAGGGTTATGAAACTAAAGGGGACGACCACTAATTTAAAGACACTCTTGATTGTTAAACAAATTCTTCTGGTCAGCACTTCAAGAGATGTAAAGAGAACAGTATGGAGAATATGCATACTGATGTCAGGGTTAAAGTCTCTGACTCTATCACTTGCAAGAGGCAAAACATGTCAAGTACTTGATCCATATTTGAAATTGCTTTGAATTCACTCTCAATATTTCTTTAATCAACCTCACTCTGGTAGGGTACTTTCCTTTCTAACTGAGGATGAAACTGAAAGAAAATTATTGAATAAAGGTCGTTGATTACTCACACCACAATTCATGCAAAAAGCAGTCAAAGTAAAAGTTATTTTCGAGGTGCTAACTCTTAACCCAAACTATTGTACCATACAGTAAACAGGACCTTCTTTGTTGTAACTATCCAAAATTCTGTTCTCACTTTTGGCATGCTAACACACTTCTTACCATTTTCTTAGTAACCCATTAAGTTAAAAACCCACATATATGGATCAATTGATTACCTCAGTTATGATTTTCCACTTAGATTCCACAGAACTTGTACCTAGTTATTTGAAGACATGCATTTCACTTTTTGCACTCACAAACAAAGTGTAAGAGGAAATTGGGTACTAATTAAAATATGTATGAAACTAAAATTCAGAAATATTACCTTTTCTGAAGTCTTTGATTTCCACTTTTAGTGGGCTGGTGGCTTTTTTCACATTGAAAGAACTCCATGCAGAGACTGAGGTTTTATCCACTTGTATTCCTGAAGCATGCAGTGACCTGGTTACACCACAAACTGGTGATTCTTTAGAGTGGCTTTCCTCAGACTCACTTAAAGGATCTGGTGATTTTTCATCATCTGTGTTCTTGTCCAAATCAACCAGATTTTCAATAACCTCTGGCAGTTTTGCCAGGGGCACATCTGGATTTTGCTCTAAGCCTGGTATTTGTAGCATCTCCTGGGTCAAAACTGTTGAAGAATGTAATGATTCTTCTTTAAATATATCATCAGGAATCTTGGGAGAACTTTGAGCAGTTCTTACCAAGTCATCCACTTGATTATTGATTTCAGTAGTTCCCAAATCTAAGGCAGTAGTGGCATGACTTGGCTCTACAGACACTGTTGTAGATGCCACAATGGGTGTTGACACAACAGGCGTGGACAGAAGAGTGGCTGTACAGGTGGAGCTTGAAATGGGTGGGCTTGACGCAAGTGGACTTGATGCTGCAATTTGTTTTGGAACTAGATTGAATGGATCTAAACATGTTTTAATCAGAGGTACATTAGCACCACTATTGGTACTATTGGTACTTGTACTTGGAGAAGATGGCAAGGAATTTTGAGTTAATGATGAGAGACTTGTGTTCAGAGGAGAAGAACTAGAAATAGGAATTATTGGTATAACAGAGATCTGTGGGTGTTTTGTTGTGGATGAAAAAGTTTGTTTTGAAGATGTCAGGTGAACTTGGCTGCCCTGAAATTTTGGTGTGCCTGTAGCCATGGATACTGTTGGCAAGTCAGTTGTTGACGAGCAAGTGTCAGGTTGCCTAGGAACTACTTTCATTACAACATTTTTTAGACCACTTAAGATTCCAGCTACAGGAGTTAAAGTCAGACTTGCTGGGCTTGTAACTGTTCCTGCTTGAGGGACCTTGTTGGCTTGTAATTGGTTAAGAGAAGCTAGTGCTCTCAGTGCAATGTCAGAAGTTGGTGTGTTGCTGGTTGAAGTTAACACACCATACTGTTTTCCATCAATGATAACTTGTGCTGTTGGTAAAGGTTTTACAGGAATCTGTGAGACTAAGACTGTATTTTCATCATTTTTTTGTGCTACGGGTGATGTTGAAATCCCAAGTGCTTGAGGTATTTTAGCAGCCCCTACTGTAACAAAATTTGACACCGTTAAGCTGGGTGTTGCTGAAACTTGCTGACTTGTTGTCAATGTGGTTCCCAAAGAAGTGTTTAAAATTGCACCCTCTGCATTTTCAGGTATCAGAGGAAGCTTGGAAACTAAGAGTGCACTCTTGACATGTTTTTGCACAGCAGGTGTCTGGATTCCAGAGACTTCAGGTATTTTAGCAGTCCCTCCTGTGACAAAATTTGGCATCTTTACACTGGGGGTTGCTGAAACTTGCTGACTTGTTGTCAATGTGGATGCCAAAGAAGTGTTCAAACTGACTTCATCTGCTTTTTTTGAAGTATTATTTGTACCAGTAATGGTGAAATGCATAACATTCTTACTTTCTAGGTTATTCATGAATGGGCCATCACTCCTAATGATTCGAATTCCAGTAGAACTGCTGGGATTCTGCTGGGTACTCAACCGTGAGAGATTGCAAATAATTTTATCGCTGGATGGCTGCCTCACCTGTCCAAGAGTTTCCATGATCACTTTCTGCTGAGTTGGATGTAACTGAAGAATAGGAATACCTGGCTTGGGCAAAATTTTCACCAAATTTGCCTTTTGTTCCTCTTGACTGGTTGATTCCAGGGATGGCTTGCTTTTTGCTGTGCTGCTGTCTGTCAAGAAAATATGTGGCAGGTGGGTGAATAATTTTGATTGATCTTGACCCACTTTCTGACTTTGACTTTCGCATGATGCATTTGAATTGACTGAAGGTGATGTCTCTGTGGAGGATGCCACTAAACCTAAAATATCTTTTGATGTTTCCAAAGCACCCTCTATAGTAGTTTTCTTTGGAGGAACTCTTAAGCTTTGTGGTTCTTCTCTGTTTTTCAGTGCTGGTTTGTTACTGATATTGGAAATCCATGCCACAGGAGACAGCAATGTCTTCTTTGCCCGTGGACGACCCTTGACACAAGGTTCCATTGCACCTTTAGATTCGTTACTTGCTATCACAGCTACATCTTGTTTCCTGTTCAAATTTTCTTCTGATTTTGAGACATCTTCTTCCTCTACAGTAATGTTGAGGTGCTTTAATATGGCATCAACCTTTGCAGGATCAACATTAATTGAAATTTTTCCAAACATTAGTAAATTTCTTTTCTCCTGAAGTTCTTTGTTAGCTTTTATAAGCTCATTTTTTGTGTTAATTAAATCTCTTGACTCTTTTGCTAATTCTTCCACTGTACTGATTCCTTTGCTGAGAATAGCTTGTTTGCTAAAGTACAAGTCTACATCAACAAGGTCAGTAAACACCTCCACCTTCATGTCATTGAACAGATCACCCAGGTGGTGACGCCGCTTTCTTTCCGTGGCACTCCTTGTTGCTTTAACAGTGTTTGGATCACGACCATTTTTCTGTGACATATGGGAGTGTAAGTCTTCAGAATCATCAGGTTTAATTATCTTGATCACCTCCCCTTCCTGCATTTTGGCACATTGCAAGAAAATGTCAATCTCATTTGGCCATGCTTGAATTGATGTATCAATTGTTCCATCTTTGGTCATTCCAGGGTGGTAACTGAAGTGACTGGCCTCCACGCCACTCACCACAAGAAAGTTCTTACTTGTTTCTCTCCCAACTGTTTCAATGTCAACTTCTGTAACTTCTGTTCCCTTCTCTGATTCTTCTTTTTCAACCTTTTGGATCTTATTATTCAAGAGAAAACAACCACTACCATCAATTGTGTCTGTTTCTGAGGAATTGTCACTCAAATCAGAAAAAACACTGATGGTTGTTGTTTCGTCACCAATATCAACTTCTTGGTCACTGCTGATTGGTGTTAAAACATCCTGTGAAATTTTCTCTGCCCCAGGCCCCTCTTTGGGTAGACTTAGCTCAGAAGATAAATTACTAGTCAAATTCAGTGACTGCAGAGCACCCACTGACTCAGAAGTGTTCTGTTTATTTTTCCAAAAACCACCTCTAATAGGCCATGCTATGGTTCGTGCACTCCAGGATTTTTCCATTTTTGGTTTTAACAATGATGATGGCCCTTGAGTCTTCTTTCCCTCTTCATTATTGCTGCCTTCAAATTGTACATTTTCCACATCTTGTAATGTAAGACTATCATCATCTCCTAAGTTCTCTGTATTTTCTTTTTGGGTTCTCTCTGTATCTGGGACTTTTGATTCGTGTTTCCCTCGTTTCTTTATTCTAAATTTGGTTTGACTTGTTTGATCACAATGTTCATGTTTCCTTTTTTTCTTCGTTTTCTTTCTAAGAATCAAATCAGATGATGTGCCAACCCCTTCTGATTCAACCTCATTCACCTTACCAGAAGCTGATAAGTCAGCTACAACATCTTCTACATTCTTAGTAGCCACAGATTTTGCAGAAGCTTGGTTTACGTCCTGTTGTGAATCTTCATCATCCCCTAAATCCACAGTTTCGGAGCACAAAAGCGAAATTTCGGAGAAAACGCTCAAAGACAGATCATTGTTTTCGCTTGCGTCACCAGAATCATTTGCTGGGATAGATTGAGAAAGCTCTCGATCATTTAAAAACGCGCTCGCGGCTGAGGCAGTGTCGGTTTTCTCCCTTGACAATACCAACGCGTCGGTTGTCAAGGGACAAGATTTCTTGGCAACTTTTTTCTTACCGGTAGCAGCTTTTTTCTTGCTTGGTGGAGCGTACAGGCCCAATTTTTCCTCAATAATTCCAGCGCTGACTTCTTTTTTCCTTTTCTGGCGCACATTTACGTTGATGGCCGTAGATGTCGCTTCGTTGCTTTCGATATGACTTTCGAGTTCATCGAGCGACGCGAAGGATAAGAACGCAAACCCACCAAGGAGGTCCAAATCGGGCTCCAGAAAAACTCTTCTAGAAGAGCTTACAGGCGATTTACCCTTCCATCCCGCTTTAGATACAAATCCAAACTTGGAATTCGTCAAATTGACGTTCAAAACTTGAGCAACAGGGCTATCTGCCGCAGCCTTCGTCTTGGACTTGCTTCCCATACCAGACACCTTCCGGAAACTTGCCACTACGCCCTGTGCAATTTATACCTAATAACCGCCAGATCGGCCTTTAAGCAAATTTAATGACTATTAAACTTGCCCTTAAACCTAATCTTGGCTCATTCTGAAGAAAATATGCTGCAAAAATCAGCCATTTCTCGGTTGTTTTTCTCGAGTTCTGAGATCGCGGCCACGTGTTTTCACCCAGAATCCTCCACCCTAATCGTCGCCATTTTTAATTCCAAATAAAGCGCTGATTGTTTTATTAGCCAATGCAATCACTTACCCTCAAAGTCACTGACCGCGTGACTGGTTGTTTAAAAACATCCAGGGACATCCCAGGAGTACACCGGTTAGGTGTGAAATTTGCTCATAATCCACAGAGATGTTGCTTAAAACCAAGAAGACTTGCACTAGAATCTGTGTTGGACTGTTTTTCTTGCTCGGTGGTATCGAATATGGTAAGAAATTACTGCATGCGTTTTTAGCTCAACTTTGTTTATTGTTTTGCAATTTTGTAAGCTTCTTGGTGTTACGTGTGTTTGACATGTTTCACCTTCTCGTGTTTGAGTCAGTAAATAATGATGTACATGACAATAGTATTTGTAAACACGGATAATAACTTATAAATAATAATAAATAACGTGAACGCAACGATAAAGGAGTCGATTCCGTGTCTGGTTACGTCAGCCTGAATTAGTATTTTTGGAGTTATTCACGTGATGTTACTACAGAATAACGTCTGAGTATTTTTGAACGATTTAAATCTGCGATGGTACTGATCCCAATCCTTTTCTTTAAAAGTTTACTCTTTTCTATAATAATCTCTGATGGGATCGATGTTCCTGTCTGACTGTTTGAAACCGTTCACACCTTTGATAGCCTTATAATTAGTAACTCTATCCACGAATAACTCATTAACTGAATTAAAATCTCATCATGTTGATCGCTTAATAACTTTGTGTTTGTTTATGAGCTTGCTGTTGTCCATTATGTTTTCAATCCTCTTGAAATTGTAACCCTGGCTATGTTGTGTGACTTAGAGTAGTTGTACACACTTCACTTTGATGTTTTAGGGTTAAAAAGCCCTTTAACTCCCATGAGTGACCAAAACAGAATTTCTCCTTACAATATCAATACAATATCAAGCAGAAAAGTGATGAGAATGAAGAAGGAAACCTTAATTTGGGGATTATTAGTTGATCTAATACCAAATTCTCCAAACTAACATTACAAGAACTGTTGTGTAGACAATAAGGCGAATTACCAATGAGATCTTGGGAGTTAAAGTGTTAAATAAGCTATTAATAGGCTATTAAAATAAGCCCTTATATAGAAAATGGGAAGAAGAATAAAACTAAATCTGTTGCCCTTCAATGCTAATGTATTGACTGTAAAGTCTTTGTTTTAGCATTTTAAACCAAAATATGCTGACCAAAAGGTGTATTGAGCACCAAGAATAAAAACTTTTAACTTACTGCTGCTGTCCACATCTCAAGAATGTTGGTGCTTAAGCTCCCAATTATCAATTCTCAACAGTGGCTGCCATATATTTTCCTGAATTTTAAGAGTGCAGTGAATGAGAATTTAGTGTTGGATCAAACATTGTATCTTAGTTGATTTATCATTTTCTTCTTTAAAATGTATCACTATTGCGAGGAGAAACTTCTTTTCCACCTCTCCTGGGAGTGAAAGGGTCAAGAATTACTTGTACTACTTAGGCAGAGAATGTTTATCCTTTCAGTCTGTAGGATGTTAATATTCAAGAATTAATAATTATTTGTACCACTGCAGCTGTAATTCTTCCAACTCTTTGGTTGTACCTGGAGCACAGATTTGATGCAGAGCAATGGTTTTTTGGGGTAGTGTTTGCAGCCTTCTGTTTCTCAAATCTGTTGGCCAGTCCTTTTTTTGGCTTCTGGGTTGATTATACACGAAAAACCAAATCTGCAATTCTGTTTGCAAATCTCTTTGAGATTGGAGGTTAGTTAGGGCTTTGTGACTATGCTTTAATAATCATTTTTAATGTTTATTTTGTTATTATTATCTGAATGATCATTGTGAGTCATCAGTGAGTTAATTTTATTTGTTTTTTTGACCATGATAATCTACTGTTGTACATACCATGTACATTTTTTTATGTGGACAGTTGAATCGAAGGTGTACAATATATGTTTTTTAAAAAAACAGGCCTTCTCTGTAGAATACCTTTGGTTTTTCTTCACCTTTAAAAAGTCAATTGAATGACTGGCTACCAGCTAGTTTGCAGTTTTACATATATCACATCATCAAATATAGTGAGCAGACTCAGTTATGTCATGTTCCATGACACAGTCTGTTGAAGCAAAAGAGGATTCCCAAAATTATCATGTTCTGAAATTATTAAGTTTGGAAACCTTCAAAAATTGAATTGAAGTTTTTGTTCATCGTATACCACATCAAATACAAAAGATAACTCCATTACTCTGTGTTCCATACCAATTTTTGTTGTGCCACTCACTATTTTAAAATATGAGGTCTTGTGTAAGGAACAGAAGAGATCCATTATAACATGGAGGTAATTTTAAAAGTATGCTTACTTATGTGAAAGGATGATCACTGGCTTGTTTTGTTAGCTCTTGAGGGATTATTTGAAACACAAGCTTGTTTTCCACTGTTGTTCCACATCTTCTAATGAAATCTGTTGTTCTTCCAGGCAATTTCTTATATTTTGTTGCTTGGTCCAAGTACTGGGTACTTGGTGCACGTCTTATTTCAGGTATATACTTCAATTTTTTAGCTCTTTGTTAGTCCCAAGATTCAATTAGTATTTTTCCCTACTGACTGTTATACAATTCCTTGTAAATAGGACAGGGGAATTTGGTGTTATAACAATGTAACACCCTCATGCTGATAAGCTTGTCTATTCTCGAATCCTGTTTGCAAAATAACATATTAGAATTGCAAGGAGAAGTTATAAGTTAATCACATCTGGGGTTAAAGGGTTACTAACTTGTGCAAGATTTATTGTTAGTAGAGAATACTACTGGAGGACTAGAAATTAGTTATCCATAGCCCATGCATCTAATGATATGGTTACTTTTAATTATAAACTATAAATTTTAATTGTAGTCTTTTAAGTCTGATGATTAGGTATTGATTGAACAGGCTGGAGTGGTTGGATAACTTCCTGTGATTTTTTACAACAGTTGATGTCAAATTCACTGTGAAAAATGCAAAATATCAAAGGAAAACTCCCTGTAGTTAAAACATAAAAGTGATCCATGATCCAGAAACCAAACAGTAAAACTATAAAATTACCATTAAGAGCTGCAAAAATTAAAGGAAAAATAATTATAATGGTAAATTTTGCAAAGCATTTCATCCAGGATTAAAGAATGGTTTATATCATTTGTAAGGTATTGGTGCAGGAGTAGGTGCTGGAATTTTTGCTCAGATTGCAAGAACAACAACCGAACAAGAGCGAACCGGGATGTTTTCCATTGCAATGGCCTTGCGACAGTTTGGTTTGTTAGTAGGTGTGTATCTTTTTGTAAATGATATTCTTAAATTTTTGCTGTCTTGCACCTATAACTTGCATTAACTCTGGGCTTGTTTTGGGTTATTTTATTGTATTTAGATGAAGTTAATCATTGTTTGGGTAACTTGAATGCAAGCTGTAATGTTACTGTTGGTGATTAATTTCCAGTTTTGCAGTTTGCTTAATGTAAGTTGTAAACTGTGTTGTGATTGTTTATAACACACGAACCATGTATGAATTATTTCAGATGTACATCACTTTCTGCATTGGACAAAATATTAGCTTTTAAATATTTGTAATGAGCTATCTCGTTTTGTTAATTTTTTTGGGGGTTCAGTGTGCTGTGTCTTGCATTATTGTTTGATTAATCTGTCATTGAGAAAGATGAAGCACTTCTGGATTTTTGATAAACACCTTGAATTTATGTGGATATTTCTATTGAATTTCAGGACCTGGCTTCAATCTTTTCCTGCGGAAGTTAAATTTCAAAATAGGACAATTTGAAGTGGATTCATATACTGCACCTGGAGTTAGTGTTTAGGATTTAACAAATCACTTCAGACTATTTTTTTTAACTTGAATATATTACTTATTTTTTTTTAATGACAGTCATGCTTTTGATGTAGGAAAATGTAATTTAGCGAACTAAAAGTTGACACAAGACAGTGGTGGCTATTGGTGTTACTTAGTGATTTGCTCTTAAGTGGGTCACATTTCCTTACAAGGGCTTCCAGGGTTCTACCATTAGCATTACCATTGAGACCACATGTATGGAACATGGGGTTATTCCCCCTTCCCCCCCCCCCTTTCCCCAAGAGAGAGAGAGAGAGAGAGAGACTCTTTAACATAATCCAATATCATCAGTTCAAGTCATGTGGTTTTTTCTTCTTTTGATAGATCTTCATGGCTGCATTATGGTTGCTACTAGAATTGATTATGACATTCCTCTATTATGACCTGCCAACTGTAAAGAATGATGTTGATGATCATTCAACTAATGATGAGCAACACAGATATGATAACAGTGTCCAGAATTATAGTAGTACTGAGAGAAACATAGCTAACAATTCCATAAATGTTGATGCAACAGAAAATGAGCACATTGTTTCTGGTGACATGATCAGGGATCTGTACAGCAAACACAGTTCAATCATAGACAGCAGAAGGCAAAATCTAATAAACAGCGCAACTCAAGATTTTCAGAAACATGCAAGGAATGAGCCAGTAATGGATAAGTGGCACTTAGCAAAAGGTATGCATAGATAGTTATTTTACATTAATTTGATCCGTAAAATGCTATAACCCTGAAACTCCCAGTTGTGATTATCATGTAACTTCTACTGATAATATCCATATGATATCCATCAGACAGGTAGTGAGAATACTCAAACTTATCAGGTAGAAATAGTTATCTTCACTTGATCTTACACCAAATTCTCATAACTAATTTACAAGGAAATGTTTAGCAGCTGGAGGGAAGAATTAGAATCATATATTGGAAGTTAAAGGGTTATGAACTAAGGAAAGAAAGAGTTGAAATTGTCAATGAATTGAGCCAGTTTTATAACATGACATCTGGAGATTTCCCATAGTTTTTCATGTAATTCTGGTTGAGATGTTTAATGATTTCATGTGAACACATTTAAAGATGCTCTAAAAAATATTCAGGACTCCAAAAAGATTGGAGTGTGAGACCCTATGCTCATGGTTCTATGTTCTAATACCAACAGGGCTATGAAGCTGCTGATATTGGGAGTAGGCTTTTGTGCTTGGTTTCAAAATTTTAAACTGGTTAGATATATATGCTCCTTTGTCTCAGATTGTTGGATATCTGAGACCATGAACAATTTAAAATGGAATTTTTTCTTATGAAGAAAAATTTGATTTCCTTGTGTTTACTGGGGATGTGATTGTTTTCTAAAACAAAGAGTTTGTTCAAATTCTGAGTACCATTTCCAGAAATCGTACCAGCCATTGAGTTTGCACAATTTGCAATGTATAGCTGCTTTTCCAAGGCTAAGATAAATGTAATTTATATCTTTACAAATAAGAGTTTGAACACTGTACATTTTTTTCCTATAGATCTTGTCCGTGAAGAAGTAATTGTTATCCTGGCATCACAATTTTTGATGTTCTTTAATCAAACAGCACTAGAGGTTTGCCATACCCCATTCTTTTTTTTTTTAGTTTTTTTTTGTAAGTTATAAATCCAGAGATATCATATCTTAGGAACAGAATTGACTCTGGTATTTCATTCACAGCTACATGAACTGAATGTGTTAATATTTAGACTTGGACTTGACTGACCCTCTGATCTAGACATGAAGTTATCCATTTGGAAATTTTATATAAACAGTTATGACTGAAAGAAGGGAAACATTTCAGACTTCCAAATTCACCAAATCTCGAGAGAAGAATGGCAACAATTTTCATATATTAATTGGTGACAACAATTTTTAAAACATTCTAAATGTATTGTTTAATATGTTATCTACTGCGCTAGCTAATTAAGGCCACAATTTTCAATTAATTATTACTAATCGCATAACGTGATGACGTCATAAACGGAATTCACTGTATTACGACTTGCTAGTCAGAAGAACTGTGAGACACCACTGGATTTTGAACGCGACTACTCTATTTTTTTTTTTTTTTTTTTAACAGCGCGACTACTCTAAGCGATGATTCAATAAAGGAGCTGTTTAAAACTGTGGACTGAGTTAATCTTCGACTGGCAAAACACTAAACCTGTGATGACCAAAGCCTTTTTTTGAAAAGTATCTAACTGCTTCCCCTATTTATCAAAATGTCATTCCACTGTAATTTCTTACACACCTTATTACAGGCTATAGTCACTCCTTTATCTGAGTACCTCATGGGATGGAAGGAGTTAGAGAACAGTATTGCCTATTGTTTAATAGCTTTAGAGGTAAAGTATGTTTTTTGTAAATTTGGCAAATCTTGCAGTTTGTTTTTAAGTTTGTTGTCATTAAAAGGGATTATGGCTCTCAACCATTATAATTGTTTTTATTATTTTCATTATCATCATTATTGTCACCTTGATAGGTACTGATAAATGTGTTTGTAAATTTTTATATAAAATATATTTATTTATAAGGTCCACCTCTGTAATTTAAGATAAGTTAATGTTTTAATTTTTAAACTTTTATTTTTTATTCTAGTAAAGTGCATTTGATTGTAGTGACATGGAATTAGCACCCTACAAATTTTAATTATTATTTAATTATCACTAATATCCGATTCCTTATGATCAGGCCATTCTAGTATTTGCTCTTGTGAGAAAGCTCAGTCGAAAGCTTGCAGACAGGTAAGGAATTGTCTTTCAATCCTTCTTTTTTCACAATATCTGATTGCCAGGGATTCACTTGAACTGTTGTTACTTAAAGTCGGAAAGGAAAGAAATTTTACTGTAAAATTCAGTCTCGTTTGTTCAGTTAGCCTCATCAGACTGTTTATGAAAATGTTTGTCATTAACTTCTCTGCCATCCTGTGTAAATCTTTTTTTTGTAGGTGGCTAATGGTGATAGGTATTGCCTTTGAAGGATTTGCGCTAGTTTGGTATCTCTTCCTTTTGGCCAATGCAAAACCATGTAAGTTGTTTTACCTCATTCTTTCAACATTTAATTTTCTTCTTGTGCCTTCTTTACTGTTCAGTGCATTTCAAAATCATGTTGCTCCAGGAAAGTATTGAGTATAGTTCATTTTGTCAATCTACGCCTTTTTGCTCGCCTTGCGAGAAGGAAAAAAGGGCGACTGAAGCTGCAGCGAAAGTCGACAATTTTACGACCGGTGTTCGGCGGTTATCTTTCAGGCCGTTATGTGATAGTTTGTCAGTTTTGAAGATTTAAGGCTAAAGTTAGATGTATAAGTGCATAGCTTCTGTCATATTGTGCAAAATGCCTTTTTTTCTTGCGACCGTTTACCAAGTTCGCCAAATGGTTACTTTGAAAAAGAGAAGCCTAGAGCTTGCCAAGGGCGGTTAATTCATTCGAACCTGTATTTGTCATGGAAACCGGATCAAATGCGAGCTGTATTCAAAGTTAGCTCCGATTTTCTCCACCATCTTTAATCGACAATTTTTTTTCTCTTATCTTTCCAGATGATTCTATAGTTCTTCCAACCATAATTGTTGGCACATTGGTCATTGTGTTTGGTTTGCCGTTTTTCTCAGTAGCAAATATTTCCCTTTATTCTAAAATAACTGATGAGAAAACCCAAGGTAAGTAATGCTCTCTCCTTAGTAAGATCAGTGAAATACTTGTTAACCTCAGTTTAGTGAATAGTTTGAAGTTTCCAAATGAATCCAAGACAGCAGTAGCAAATTCGATGTCGGTTCTGGCCAATCCCGTAGAATAATTCGTCGCAAAGTAATTCACACGCAGCTTATATTCAGCGGCAGTTTCTCCTTTCAGGGAACACGTTTGATTGATGGGAACAGAAATAAAAGCATTAGCAACATTTTATCCATTTGGAACCGCAGTTTGTTTCCCTTAATGGAGGTTACTACGTCATAGTGGTGTCTCAAAGAGACGCTCGATTTCAGATACAAAATTGGTTGTTTCCTGTGTTTTGGGTACGATTTTAGTGCGCGAGCGAGGACGCATGCTACTCGTCGAGCGAGTGGACTTTGCACGCGTCCTGTCCGATTATAGAGATGCGTGCGCTCTGATCGGTCGGAAATTGCGTCGTGAGGGAGTTAGAAAAATTCTTCCTAACGAGATGAACGACTGAATTCGTGTTGGTCATTTTTTCATGTTGTGTTTCGTTTTCACAGGTATAGCTCAAGGTATTCAGAGGTCAGTAACAGGAGTGGCCATGATCCTAGGTCCATTATGGGGAGGGGCACTGACGACGAGGCTCTTTATTATGTTGGGAGTCATGGCAGGTCTTGAAGTTATCTTAGCAGTAAGTATTTCTCCTCTGAGTAATTAATTATTATCAACTGAGTTGATAACGTAAATTGGCCATCGTTAAGAGTTTAAGAGCTGACGTTTCGAGCGTTAGCCCTTCGTCAGATCGAATGCAATCGCCGAATCGTTCCTACAGTGAGGTCTCTCAAGTACTATGGTTTCCTACAAAGGAGTTTTTTCTTTTTCCATAGCTACCTTTTGTTTTCTTTGATAAAAATACCCATTAATTTTTTTGTTTTTCACACAGATTCTGATGTACTTATCTTTTCATCGCCTTAAAGAACCTTCCAAGCAACTGCCATCCCAGTACGACCAAATAGGCTCTCAAAGTGAACGACAGCCTCTACTGGGATGAAAGACCCTCTATCTATTTTGTACCAAGCCTTACTTCTCCCCTCTCCTTTTCGAGAGAGTTGAAAATAAAAACAGCAAGCCTCCGTGTTTCCCCAGCCGGGAACGCCATGAGCTAGGATCGTGTGAAGTTTATAGACAACTACTTCAGTCATAGAGTTTAGAAGTTTATAGACAACTATTTTAGTCATATCTAAATGAACCGGGAAACGGGATTTCGCCCTCTCCCCAGATTTCCTTCTGGGCCCCCATCGATGAGCTTTTTAGTTGAATTGTTTGGATATGTCAGAATAACATGATTGTTTTTGCCGCAATTGCTCTTGATCTTTTGAACAATGGCGAGTCGCTATCAGGGACGTTGCGGGGGACACAAAGCGTTGTACTTAGAAAATTCTTGTGTGAATTCTGTTGAATTGAATTTTAAGAAAACCTTGTCTTTGAACGACGATATCGGGATGAAACTTATGAGGATAACTGGTAGATATTTATAAAGAATACTATTGCATTGAGTAGGTAGTTGTGAATGTAGATTGGATGATAATGAATGAATCCTTGGGATTACCAATAAAAACCTCGATTAATACAGGCACAGGATATATGATATTTGATGAATTGTATCAATTAAAATTTTATTCCTATTGAGAAATGTTTACTGTACTGTATATTCTTCCATACGATGTAAAATGTGATATCAAGCACCAAACCAAGCACTATTATCAAAATGATGTAAATTTGAACTCAAAACCTGTTATCAGATATGTGATATTTATTGGTTTTGGTCGACTTTGCAACTGTTGTAAGAAATAATTTCTGTACTATACATTATGCATTTTGATGTGTTATGTCATATCAAACACTGAATAAGTAACTTTAACCACACGAATTATTGTCAGATTTATTTCCAATTAAGGCTTTTTTCATAAACAAATGAAATTCACGTTGTGCATCTGTGTCTCAGTCTTTATCGCCCTTGGTAAAATAATTTTTTTTTAGCTGTGAAGATTTTAATTGTGTGGCTCAGATAGCCACACGATCAGTTCTGTTGGTAGATAAGAGGAGTAGGAACACAGCAGTGAAGAGAAAAGTCAAGTGACCGGAGTGGAAAAATCGCGAGTACGAACGACAATTTATCAGGTTCGCGTATGTTGAAAAAGTAAGATGAGCATGTCCATGGTTCTCGCAAGGAACGTTTCAGGTTCGTTTTGCTACCTTTTCCGTTAAATCACAGTGGTTAATTTGTATTTACTGGCTATTAAGTCGAACTAGTGAAGGTTTTTCGTTAGTTCCTCTGTATAAACCTTACAAGACGTTAATTAGCATTTCCCCTCGAAAGCGGGTTGTGTCACCACGTCACGTGATTGCTTCTACCCACGACCCAGAACTGAGTAATACTCTTCTTTAGTAGCTATTCACCAGTTTTTATACTCTGCATCCCAGAAGTTAAAAATCTTCGTTTAAAATTAGATGCATGACGAAAAGGCGTTTTGCTTTTGCATCAGAAGAATGGTTAAACAACTTTTTGACAAAGCTGAACCAGACATTGCTTAAAAAAATACAAAATCTCGTGCAGTAAAAGATTCTGACGGTAAGCTTGTATGAAAGGTTCTTTAATTTCGCGTTGGTTGCAAAACTAATCGAAGTATTTTATATCCCTGTCCTGAGTACTTACAGTCTGCCTAGAAAGTAATACTAATCGCTACGATTGGATTATTGTGCATGTCCCGTTGCTAAAGAACAACAGAACCGCGTAAGACACGTTTGATGATTGGAATGCAGTGGAGCTTGACACCGCATACATTTGTGTCAGATAACAGAGTTGTAAGATACACAGATCGTACTCAAGTGATATATTGCAGCGTCTATCGTTGAAACCATCGGTCGAAAGGACATTTCTTGAGGAAGTTTACTGTACTAGACAGCATAGGAAGTGAAAAGTGATACAGGGAACTATTTGGTTCGTTGACTGAGGCAAGGTGGACAGGTAAGATCAGTGGTTAAAAATTTTGCGTCAAAATGTAATCGAAATTACTTCGCAAATCAAAGCTTTGTTTTGCTTTGCTGTAGAATCCGATTTTAACTGCTAACATTTTACCGAAAGCACTACTGGCAGTGTTATATTGGAAATCGTTTGTCGGTTTTTCTGGTGGACTGGTTGTTTAACCACAAGCTTTCTGCAATGCTGATGCTACTGACAGCTTCATGGCTTTAACCCGACCTCTGTGTAGAGTCTTGACATAAATAATTTTGTTTACTGATAGGGAAATAGCACAATCATTCGCGACTTTTGAAGTTATTTCCTAGGCGCTAGTAGATATTATATTCTTTTTCACGCTAATGTGCGTTGTGTGTAACACCTTTTGTCACCGGCCGTCCGTTTATTACGAACCTTAGCTTGATATCTCTTTAACTCCCCTGCGGAACTTCAGCCGTTTCTTCTGTCGAGTGTCGCCGGCGAAGAGTATTTCATAATCCAGACCTCAGTGTTTACTTTCAATGATGTAAAACGTGCTCGTGTATATTTTCTGTTCAGAAACACGATCGAATTGTGGACATATTCATGCGCTACTTCGCGTTTGCAATTCGAAAACATCTGAAATTGAATAGATAATTGATCGTACCATCATAAACTGGAACCAAATTACAAAAACAGAGCAATTGGTGAGCTAAGATCTCTTTACTACTTTTTAGAAGGACTCAAGGTTTGAATTTTGATCGCCAACACATTTAGGAATGGAAATCTGTTGATGGAATGGTGATGTATTGTGAAATAGTACATTGTTTACTTTACTGCCGTGACAGGCTATCGCTCCTTCCATTCCCATCAGCCGGTAATACCCAAGAGCAATCTTAAGTGAAATGTTTATATGCGTAATATCAACTCTGAATTTTGATGGAGTAATCTGTGGCACTATATTTTCTTCTGCCTTTGAATTTTGGCAATAATTTTCGCGACAATTCGAAGCGGGTTCGTCGATAAACTCTGTTAATCGTAGAGGCGCTGTGTGAGTTGTTTTACAACGTCGTATTTTTTCTGCGGTTTTTATGTATATTCTTTCCATATTCTTGTCTTTTCCAGAACAAAATGGGAGGTTTATGTGTTTTACAAAACGCTCTGAAAAGAGCTAGCATTTTACCACTAGCTATAATTGAAAAATCAATTTTGAGATAGCCGATAGCGGTATGCAAATGTGGAAATTCAATGTGTTTTGATAGCTATCGTAAGCTCTCACTCTCGATGCCTAGGCATGTTGAAAACAACTTTCATTTTTCTTTCAGTCGTTGTCCTTGAGCATATACCCGTTGTATATTAACGTTTTATGGTAATTTTAATTGTTAATTATTTATATTTTGCACCCCTTTTATGAGTGTTAATTCAATTTTTAAGTTCTGTTAGTTTTAATCACCTTTTAGTTACCCAGAAACTTTTCTTTTTTCCGACCAGTAAAACCCGGCCAGGTCGTTTCATGCACTCTTTTTATAATGTGTGTTGTAAGAAAAGTGTTGCCCATTAATTTGTCTGTTGTCAGTGATAGGATTGCGTACTGCAAGAACATTTCTGGCATGACATGTAAATTTAAAATGATAATACCTCTTTTGCCAATTCAGAGTTACAGTAATAATCGACAGAATAATCTTTTTAGTGCTAATTTAAATGTTTGGGTTACAGTATTTTGTCATCCAATACCTGTGAGCTCTCTATTTGAGCAGTCCTCTCTTAGTTTCCATTTCCCTGCATGTCTGAGGAAAATTTTGACGAGGTAAACAAATCCTGCCATTTTGCAATGCAGATGTATGTTTCGAGTTTCTTGACCTTTCTATTTGCAGTAGGTTCTTTAATGAGGTTAGCTGAGATGTATAATAATTAAACATTAATGACGTGATTACAAACTACAGCTAAGTGTAGCTCAGATCTATAGTGTAATTTATACTCAAAGAGCATTTTCTGTTCCTGTAAAAAAAAAGTAGAGTAGTCTTCCTATACTTCCAGTGGTTGTCAGCGGTTCAGTCGATATAAAGTTAATTGAAAGCCCAAGAATATGTTCTTGTGCAAATCTTTTGCTTTTACAGACTGTAGTTATGTCTTTTAAGAGCAGTTTCAGGTGTTACAGTCAAACCTCAATTATCAGAATTTCCAGATTATTTAGACTTTTTCTCTGGTCCCAATTTTGTCAAGAATATTTATTAGTCATGATCAAAATCCATAACTATATTATTTTAAAACTACAACATTGAAAAGCAAAGGTGTTTGTTTCACTTTCAAAAAGCAATAGGAAGCACTCGCATGCGTCATAACTAATGAGTTCAAAAGTGTTTGTTATGGATGGATAGACAGAACAATGTTGACAGCTATTCAGATTATGCAGCTTCGAAGATGGATGGAACTCTCAATTCTCATGCGATGTTCTTTTTTAAGACAAACTGACTTTCTTCATCATTTTAGGCCAATGTAAAAACATTTTTCATTCATTTTAGTTGTTAATACACATGTGTAGAGGTATTCACAATGGACAGTGAAGATGTAGACCATATTTTTTTAAAAGCAATTTGTAAATGTTTTGTTTCATGATTAAATTTTGCTTTCTTAATTTAATCAGTTTGTGTTTCTCATTAATATTCACATTCTCGATTATCAAGACTATTTTGTCTAGTCTCAAGGAGTCTGCATAATGGAGGTTCGACTATAGTTAAGATCATAGGCACTATCATCTCTATTTTCTTGAAGTATTCATGTACATATTAAGATCCCAAAATGTTGAAATTTAACATAGCTAATTTTTTCTGCAGAATGTAATGAGAGAGTAAACATGGGAAGTCTCACAATGGTGGCAGCTGATCCAGGATCTCCAAGGTCTGTCACTATCTGTTAATAATCAAATGAACAAATTGCACAATTCTTAATTTTGTAAGGATGAGATACTATGGCTAGGACCATGAGATGGGTGGCTGTTCCTGTGGAGGAACACAACAAAGCTATGTACCTCTGCAAGAAGAGGAGTCTGGTTACATGTTTGGAAATTTAGAGGCTTTGAATGCTGACATGAAATTTATATATTTGTTTTTTTCCCTACTCTGTTCAGATCCCGAATTGATGTTAGAGATAGAGATGACACAGAGGTGATAAATATTAAAAACTGTCTTAGTGGACTAGGTAACACTCTTCTTGATTACTGTTTTAATTTAACTTTGAATTCAACTGTAACTGATCAATTAAGTGTTTTATTGGGTCATTTTTCAGCTATCAGTAGCCAATAGAACACGCAAATGATGTATTTTCTTAATTGTTTTGAATTATTTGTTAAGGTGGGAAGGGGGGTGGCAGCTGTTAGGAAAGGGACTTTGGAAAGGAATGGTTTGAGAGGAGGTTGGAGGGGCTGTATGACATTTTGGAAAATTTCCTATGTTTTTAAGAGAGAGTGAAAATTTATCTTGTTACAATCATTCTTGATCTTTAGTATAGCCTGAACTTCAATCATTTTTTGATGAAAAATGTATTGGGTCCTATTCCATATAGGAAGAGCCAATGAAACACGTAGAAGATGTGTTTGGAGGTGTAGTTAAAAGATATATTATAAGTTATTGGTTTTTAATTATTCTTAGGTATGAATTTGATATGTGATTTTTGGATGGTAGGGAGGTGTTACAGGGGGCTTTTGGAAGGAGTGGGTTAGGTTTGGAAAGTGTCAAAACAACTTTTACTAGGATTTCAGAAAACATAATATTTGTTTAACAGTTTTGTGAAGAGACTTTGAAAAAAAGGATTTATCTTGTTGTTCCTTATTTTGTCAAATATTGCAGACATGATCTATGATCACTCTTGTGAGGAAAAAGTTGTGGTCTCTCTCCGCTCTTAAAATCTCCTAGCTATTCAATAGCTAGGAGGTTTTAAAAGAGGAGAGACAACACAAGCAATCTAACTTAACCTTTACACCCCGACATCAGTATGCATATTCTCCATATTATGGTACATACATTTCCTAAGGTGCAGAGAATGAGAATTTATTCAGCAATCTAGAGCCTCAGTCTCTAGTTTGTGATCATTTCCTTTATTTTCTAAGGTGCAGAGAATGAGAATTTATTCAGCAATCTAGAGCCTCAGTCTCTAGTTGGTGATCATTTCCTTTATTTTCTAAGGTGCAGAGAATGAGAATTTATTCAGCGTTCTAGAGCCTCAGTCTCTAGTTTGCGATCATTTCCTTTTTTTTTGTGACCTTGATGCCTGATTCAGTGGTGGTGATTTGAGGAGAAATTAGATGCTCATCACTTATAGGGGTCAAAGGGATAAGAATCTTTTGTAATGTACGGTTTTAAATTATAATTAGTATAATAACTTGTTTTTTATTTTTGTTGCAAGGTATAAAAATTGCTGGTGGGAGATCAGCCCTTGGAGCTGACTTTGGAATCTTTGTCAAGAAAGTTTTAAGTAGAGGTGCAGCTGATCTTGATGGTGAGAATAAGACTGTGATGTACAACATCATAGAAGCCTGACACTGAAAGGGCTTGAAAATTTTCTTCTTTAATGTGTGCTTACGAAAATGTCAGCTCGGTGACTACATGGAGAATTTAGTGTGGTGAATGTTCATGTGGGAAGTTTTAGCTCAAACTTGATCTTGCAGGTTTTATCTTTGTAACAAGTCTGTAGTATCCCTTGTCCCTAAGATCTTTGACAGAATGTTTTTATTTTTTGTCTTTATCAGGACGGTTAAGAGAAGGAGACCAACTTTTAGAAGTAAATGGGTGCAGCCTGCTCGGAGTATCAAATGACAAGTAAATTGCTAATTGATAAATAATTGTACAAAAGTGCCAGAGTGGAGCACAATTTGGGCTAAAAATCATATATGTAATTTATAATCAAAAATATTATTTCAAATCATAATTGCACAATCATAAGTTCAATTACCACTTTATTACATCTATTCTGCAATCGCAAAAGTCAGTCACTCAAATAAAAAAGTTTTTAGTCTAAAAATTTTTTGTGATTTAGTACTGAGCTAGTTTGTAAAAAGTTGGAAAAGTTTTCTTTCTTTTTCCTACAATTTGATTGGTTTCTATAAAGAAACCTTGAAATCTGATTGGTTGTTGTGTTTTAATAAAGCTTTCTCATTTGGGAAAAAAAAAGGTGTGACTAAGGGCAAAAAATGGTGTGATTCTTGAATAAATTGCACTGATGAGAGCCAATCAGATTGCAAGGATCATCAGTAATTTCAAAATTGATCTAATAGATAGATAAACAGTGTTGATGGTTTTGTTATCATTTGTCTCTGACAGTGTTGTTACAAATCAGTGCGTAATGGGGCAACAACTCAATTGACAATGAATCTATTAATTTTTTTTCTTTTTTTGTTATTTAGGGCAATGTCACTCCTGCGCAGTGCTGCACAGTCTAACAATGCAAAATTGCTCATTAGCAGAGATGTCCAGGCTAGGTAAAATGAGATTTCAGATTAATTATATTATTATAATTTATAATCACAGATGATGATTGCATTTATTTAGTCATCAAAGTTCCGCTCAGTTTCGCTTCTTCAAGAGAGAGTCACCTAGAAGTTATTATGAAGTTATTTGTATCATAATAGATGGCATTGATATGAAATCTCTGCAGTCTTCAGTGATCATTTTATTATCAGTAGAGGTAGTCCCTTTTTTACCTCTGCGGTGAGATATTTACAAAAGGCCTGTTTTTCACGTCACTTAATTAAGATATTAACACTGTGTCCTCCAGGCAAGAGTTTGCAAACTTGATGACAGCGTTAAATGGTGGATCCATGATATCAGATCTCACCAATGGTTCAACAGCACCTGGATTAACAAGGAGCGGCAGTTTTGGTAGTTCACGAGCCTCGACTCCCTCGCCAACTATGGGTAAGTAAAGCCGGCAAAAAATGCTGCAAAATGTTCTGAGTAGCAAGACAACACCTTCATGTTGTGATTTGATTTCGTCTTGTCTGATATTGTGATTCATTATTTTCTTTTTTTTGTATGGTTTTGAATTTGGTATCAAACAATGCTTTTGTGTTAGAAAACTTATTTAGATGACAGAACTGAAGTCTTTGCTTGTGGAACACCCTTTTATGATATATCCAAAAATGTTGTCGATTAGTAAATATAGTAGCACTCTTAGTAATTTTACTGCAACCTAATTTTTACATAACCTCAAGGAGAGGCAGCTCTTATCCTCTAAAACTTGAAATTGGTTTGTGCATCCCTTAAAGCAGAGGGAAATTACATGTTACTGATTACATTAATTTTATCAAAGCAGCTCAGGTTTTAGTTCACCACCATTAAAAGCCTGGTTATTAGTAACTTAACTTTTCTTTTTTCAAAGGGAAACGTTCATGGGTGATGACTGCTGGGCGGATGTCACCTCTCATGGGTGGGAGACATGGCAGTCCTGTCTTGTCACCCACCAACTCACTGGATAGACCTTCAGCTAGTCTGCAGAGAATGTATTCCATGGACCTACCAACACTTTCAGTGGGTCCTACTGTGGTTCAACACACCCCTGGTAAGTCTGCCTCTGCTCTTTATCTTGGAAAATATGGTCACACTTTTTGAGAATTCTCAATTAACTAAGTTAAACAATCCTTCCTGAAGGTAACTGACTAACTTCAAGGTGAAAATTCACAATCTTTCCTTATTCTTTTATGTTCCCTACTTCTGGATTTTTGCTGGCTTGTCACTGATTTGTGGAAAGATTTTTTTAAGTTTCTCCACAATGTGAGATAGGGTCAAGGGTTAGGGGAAAGGGGCCCTAGGAGAGGTGGGGTCAGGAAATTAGTGGGCTAGAACTTTCAGGGAGGGGTTGGATAATACCAGCTTGCATGTCATGTAACTGGGACAGTTAGAAAACAACAGAAAAGAGGTAAAAAAATTGATAAAAGGGTTTAAAATGTGAAATTCAAGGCACATGTGAGACAATTAAAGCCCCTTTTAATTACAGCCATTATATTCCTTACCTGGAGACACCAAGGGATTGACTCAAAAGCACAATTTAAAGAACATTATTTTATCTTTTATGTAGATAATCTTTCTGGCAGGAAATCTTTTATCTGTTAGTAAAAGTAAAACGTGCTTTGTTGTATTCACAGGGGCTCAGGAACCTCCCTCTTACAACTCCAGTCTCCAAAAGCTGTCCACACCAGCAAGCAGAACACAGTACACCCGTCACCTAAATGGCAACGCCCATTCTCCTGACGAACCACCTGAGTTCAATGGAAGTGGACATCTAACTGTAGAACAGCAAAGTGTTTCATCAGAGTTCACTAATGATTCTGGTCTGCCTACTGATAGACATTCTAATAGTTCTTCTCCAACATTTGACCATCCTGGTGAACTGCAGACCATTCAGATTCAGTACTCGACCGGACTTGGGCTGTGTATTATCGGCGGAACAAACAGACCTGAGGGGCCACATATTTTTATTGATGATATTATTGAAGGAGGAGATGCCCACAAGGTACAGTTGAATGGGAGACTTTTTACTCTGTCTGTTTGATGTTCATCTTGTATTTATGTCTAACAATTTTTCTTGTTCCTATTCTGATAGTGATGATATTAGTACTAATTGTACAAAAAATATCCTTCTGTTCTGGTTCTCAATGTCTCCAGAGTTATCTTAAAAAGGAAATGCAATATTACCCTTTTGTCAGAGAAGAGAAATTATATTAGCCTTTTAATCAATAGTCAATACCTTTCACCCCCCTCCTCTCCCCCCTCCAAAAAAAACAAAGCAAAACAAAAAATGATATTCTGTGTATTTATTTGTTCATTAAAAGTATTTGGTGGAAATTTAAAACCAAATCTTGTCACCAAGTTGTGCATTCAATTTTCAAACATCATCTTTGTTTTCAGTTAAAATCTTTGTTGGCTTGTATGATTAAAGTTTCTTGTTTCCTATAATGCATTTATGTTAGAGAACATTGTTAAACTTTGATCTCTTCAAACAAGAATCAAATTTTTCTTTCTCTTTCTGTGATAAACAAATATTTTCTTTCTCTATTATGAGATGGATATTGTGTTCCCATTGCAGTTTTTCCGTCTTCATATTTGTCAGGCATCCATGAGTGTTACCTGTATTAGTTTTTACCTTTAATTTCATATTGAGCAAGTTTGCAAGAAGCCTTGTCATAATTGAATGTTTCCGGGAAATTCTGCCCCCATTTTACAGTTTTCATTAGAGATCTAATTTTTTTTCCTCTTTTATTAATTCAAGGTCCAGTTGCAACTTGAAATTATGAATTGTCCTAAATTAACATATTTTTGCTCTGAAAACAAGAACTTTTTAAAGAACATGAGAAATGATAGATATTTGGACAACTTTTATTCTTGAGAATAAAATATAGGCTTTAAATATTGAACAGCTGTCATCTGACACATTGAAACACAAGGATGCATATTTTTTGGTTTTAAAAATTGGCAAATTGTATAGTTTTTGTCTTTACAGTCAATTTAAAAGCTTTGGTTTTTTGGAACCTTTTGGTTAAATCTTTGAGCAGGCTCTCTGCTGGAGCTTGTCTTTGGAACAGCTTGAAGTCAAAAGTTGGCTTTAATTGCAATGACCATCATTTATTTTGTGAAGAAACAATTCAAATTTATCATTTGAAGCTCTTTAAAGCATCAAATGGATTGTTTAATCACCCCATTGTGAAAAGACCAGCTCTTGAACTCAAAATTATAAGATTCTTTGTCTTAATTGCATGTGAAGATGATTTGCATTTTTTGGGTTTGAATTTCATTTGAAATTTATCCATTCTGGATTCTTCTGGCCACCTGTAGTAGGTACCTGTTCTAGGGTATAAACATACATTGATGTCCAACTAAATTCAAAATGCAAGGCTTTAGAGCAATACCACATTTTTTCCACATTCAAAGCAAATGCATTTTTATTTTCCCTTACAGGATAGAAGACTGAAAAGAGGTGATAGGCTCATCTGTATAAATGGAGAAACTCTTGTTGGAATTACCCATGAGCAAGCAAAATCTCTTTTGACAAGACTCAAACTGAGGTATTAATTTTCACCAAATTTTGTTTGTCTAATTCATGACTTAATGTGTCTTGTGTTTTTCTTTTTTTTTTTTTTGGTGCTCTGACAGATTAAAGTATCTTTGTCAAACAGCTCAGAAGTGTAATCTAAGATAACAGTGTTTGGCTTCCTGAGAGAATATTTTTCGCACTTTCACAGTCAAACATGTTTTATAATTTTATTATTTTGTGCTGGACCAGCTCTTTTCATTGTCATAAATTTAAAAGTATATTAACCCTTAACTCCCATGAGTGACCAAGACAGAATTTCTCCTTACAATATCTTTACAATATCAAGCAGACAAGTGATGAGAATAAAGAAAAATATAAATTAAGGAAATATAAGTTGATCCAATACCAAATTCTCCAAACAAACATCACAAGAACTGTATGGTAGACAGTAAGGAGAATTACTCATGAGATCTTTGGAGTTAAAGGGTTAAGATTGTCATAAAGTGAAAGGTTATGATGCCAGCTATATAAATATTTACAACGGAAAAGGAAAAAAAATTATATTATTGGAATGTTATTGGAAATGAGCTATTGGTAGGGAAATATTTTGACACTTAATAATTTTTCCCAGAAAGTATGCAAAAGACAATTCATTGAAACAATAATTTATAAATATATATATGAATAACTGTGTTTTCCTTTGTTGATAGTGACACATTAACTTGAGTATTAAATTTTGTAGTATTAGACACCATAGTCTGCTGAAAACCATGGTTTCAATTTGTACATTTTTTTCACACCAGCAATGAGTGATAAAAGGTTTATCAAAGCTTATGGACAAAGTGCAAAATAGATAATAAATTGGGCTTGAAATTTCAATGAATGTTTTGACTGAATCATATTGCTGAAAAGACAACTGGTCTTTGTATTGCAATATAAGAGAAGGCTGTTAGTAAAATTTTTACTATTTATAAACAGAGGACAAGACACAGAAGTAACATTTATTCGAGGTGGTCATAGACCAGGAAGTCAGACACCTAACGGCTCAGCAAGTCCAGCACACAACAGTCCCAGAGGGAACTCCGAAAATGGATTTCCATCGGCACAAAATTTTCATCTGAATCTCAGTGGGTTAGACAACTTAAGCTCTCCACCTTCATCAAGCAGATCATCCAGAGCAAGTGAACCTGATTTAAGTAACACAGATGTTTTTATGAAAGAACTGTTGGTAGAGGGTTTAAACCAATCAGCAAGGAGTGATAGTAGGGAAAGTAGCTTAAGTGTCGAAACTTTCCAAGGAAGTCCGCAATCGCAGGTATCACCTCCTGCATTATCAGATTCCCAACCAGCTGTTATGCAACCAACTTCGCATCCAATACAGCCTGTGGGAGGTGTTAGGAACCATTCAGTGATGCCTAATTCTCACCCACAGCTAGTTAATGGTTTTTACCCAGCACCAAGTGCAGTCCCACAGCGATTGTTTGGTAGTTTTCAGCCAGCTATGTCATCTACACCAACAACAGTTGATAATGTACCTAATGGATTTCCTGGGAATGTGCAGCAAGCTCCATGGAATTCTTCTCCTCCCTATGTGAATGGAGTTCTTGGGAGCCAACCCCAGCTTAATCAAACATCTATTCCAGTTTCTGGAAATGGTAAGTTTTTGTTAATAATTTTAATATTTGCCATCACATCCTGTGAATGCATCCAGTTTTTAATACTCACCCTTTAAAACCAATGAAAATATCACAATGTTTATTTAACATAGAGAAAAGAATTAGTTAATGCAGAGGATATGCTCAATACATTTTATCATAGCACTCAAACTCACAAATTATGTTTATGAAATTTGTAACATTCATTCAGAAAATGCTCTTTGATCTAGAACAGTCTTGTCTCTATGTTTATTTAATTCACAAATTTTGTTTGCCTATCTTACTAAACTTCAACATCTAACTTTTCTTTTTGTCAGCAATATTTGTTTTAGTTTTTTTGGCAGTGAAAAACATAAATAACCATTATGCTTTTTTGAGATATAATTTTGTAGATAGAAGTGTCAAAGGTGTAACTGTTTTGTCAAAGTGAGTGATTTGATTCAAAACGATGATTATAAAATCAAATAAATTATTTATTAGGGACTCATTTTTAAGTGATACAATTTTCTTGAATAACAAAATTAGTGTGAAGACTAATTTCAGTATTTGTGATATTATTGGCCAGTTGCTTTATTCAATCTTTTTGATGAATATTTCTCTGAGGATGCGAGAAATTACAAATTTTCCTTCTGGTCCTAAATAGCCCAAGCCTGTAAATTTTATTTTGGCCAAACTCGTCTTTATTCTTATCGTGTCTGTTGGAATTGTGGATTCTTTGCTGCAACCTTGAGATGGAAATTTATATTTAATCACAAGGTATCGGTATTTAAACTAATCAAACAATGTACAAGCGTAGTTATAAGTTTTTTTTCGTCAGAGAAACCTTTTAGGCGAGTTTTCTCAGCACTTTAACTTCATTATAGGTTGTGAGTGAAACTTCAGTGTCATTAGCGTAAGAAATTGGCAATTATCATTGATATAACCATGGTGTCATGTTCATTACCTCAAGTGTTACAAGCCATGAATATTCACATTAATCAATTTTAAAGAAAATGTTTCAACAGGTAAATACAATGAAATAATAAATTGTATAGAAAGTAAATATGAAAGCTTTAGCTAGTACTTTTCATGTCATCCACGTTTCTTACATGGTTTGTTTTCATTTCGTGTACATTCAACCCGGCCATTGTGTCGTCTACCATGATTTACACAAAATAAAATTCACAACTTTGCTCATTGTGACATACATTTGAATTCGAGTATTGGTGCCTATAAACAACTTTTGATTTATTTCATTTAAAGTGGCTTACAGGTTTAGTGTAAAGCAAGTTTGATTAATGCACTCAATGATGCGAGAGGCGAAAATTCCAAGGTGTTTTTTGTTCGGAGTAGAATTTATAGATTGGTTTAGTTTGGTACAGAGCTCTGCTAATCGCTAGAGGGTCTTATTGAGCTGATGGCTCTTGCTACCAACGGGCTAAATTTTGGCCATTTCATGACCGTTGCGATTAAAAGAAACAGTTATTACGGCTCACTTTTTTACGACTAACAGTTGAAAATTTGTTAATTTTTACGCCTAACGGCTATCAGTTTGCCCCATTGAGACCCTCCTGCAAGTTAGTGTTTCACAACGGTAGCTTCGTCCCCAGGGCGCTGTTTCCTCGGAGGCAAAAGCGTCTGGAAACGAGTTTGACACCAGGGGTAGTTAGTGTAGAAACATTTTATTGAATAGGCAAAACTTCCTGTAACTTATACTGTGTTCTTTACTAACAGGAGCAGGGCCTACCGCTGTCATACAACCTCAACAACTACCACTTAGTTCACTCCACATCAGCCCCGTACAGACAGCATTTGAACCCTCGTCAGTCCCTTTCTACTTACAACAAGATCTGGAAGCCCTCCAGCGAGTTGCACAACAGCACGCTTCACCTCCTTCAGGTCAGCAGTCCAGTCCAAGGCCTGTGAATGAACAGCAGTCGCTCCTGACCACAACAGCTGCGGCTGGGAGCATAAGGGCCAGGCGACATGGGCGCGGCAGCCGGCGACTGTCACTGGACCCTCATACCAAGTTAAGGGTGGAAAAATTGGAAGTGGTAAGTTCACACCCTGCGGTGTAAAATTTACATCGTTGTAGCCTTTTATTTATTAAGTATAACTGTATTAATAAATTGCCTTAGAGAAATAGATTCCCTATTTCCTTCTATCCAAACCCTTACACCGTACGGTGAAATCTTTCGGTAATGACGTAATAGCTTTTATAGAAGTTAAAAAAAAAACAAAACAACAAAAAAACAGAGTTTAAGTCATGTCTTTTTGTTTACAAGCTAAATGTGAAAACAAACGGTTTGAATGTTAACAGCTTTCCAGGATTGCGAAATCTTTCATGTAAAATATTACAATTTTATTGATTGAAAAATATACGATCAAAAACTATGCATAATTTTTACCTTCCTTTCTTTCATGTTTTCCTTTGAAGAGAGATCGTAATGAAGGTAAAACGCTTCTTAAAATACGGATAAAGTTTTTTCCGGTTTCTTGTATCCTTCTTGAGTCAGCTGAATAAACATGCTTTGTTAAAGTTGATTCATCTGTTTGTTTAAAAATTGGTGGATTTAAAATACTCCAAAGTTTGCATGATTAATGTATCTGCTGTTATTATGATATTTATGTTTCTTTTTTACTTTTGAATTTAGGCTTTGAGGTATTTAGGATTCTCTCCAACTGAAGACCAACAGCGTGAATTGAGGCAAAGATTACCGGCAGATCAACACGGCTTTGTGTCCTATGGAGGTGAGGTTCGAGAAAGGGAAATTTGCATTGGTTAAAGCAGCTTTGTGTAGACTATTTGCGAGTCTACATATATTGAGGCAACGAAGGATATATTCGTTAACTTTTTCATTGAATTTTTTAAGTAAAATTTATCAAGCGTAACGAAAGGTAAACGTTTCGGGTAAATTTCATTTGGTAGTTTTCCCTTGCTCTTCTGGATGTGAATAGTTGTCTTTTTGTTTGGAGTGTCCTTGTTTGAAAACCAGCTGATTTTTATGTACGTGAAAACTTTCCGGCAAAGAAAGATTTTAGGTGTACAATAGTTTTTCATATGATCAAGAAACGCTTTCACAGTTTTTCATAACTTGATAAGATTAAAGCACCAGTGATGCTCCATTACACCTCAGTTCCCCTCCAGTCCCACCGTCTCTATTTTGCTGCCAGCTTCAGTCAAATGTATTATTATTTATGTACCATTTCAGATTTCGTGAACGCAGCCAGACAGGTGTTGGCCTTTCAGTTAAATGATCATTCTCTGAGTACTTCAGCAGTGCAATTCGCAGTACAAGATGTTAATGCAGCAACTGCAACGACCGAAATGGAATCATACGAAAAGGTTTTTAGGAAATAATTTCACATTTTGAGAATTTTTTTATCAATTTTCGACGACAGGTCTGTAGTTCTTACTCGATCTCATAATTTTTGGCAGTCTTTGAAGAACTGATATTTTGGCTTTGCTTCCTTAATTTTAAAGGAACTGTAACCCATTAGGCCTCCTATTTGATGTGACTGTTTTACCTAAGGGGGATTTACGTTCCATAATCGATTGAAATTTGGTAGAATTTTGAAATCGAAAGAAACAACATGACAATTCAGACTTTATAAAAGGCTGCGCCAGGTCTCTTTACAAGGAAACTCAAATAATTACAGGAGCATGAACTGCAGAAAAGATAAATTTATATTTTTGTTGTTGCCTCGTGCGGTTTAATTTCTTTCAATCACGAAAGCTATTCTTCGAGAGTTTAGGGGGGTCTTGCTAAACTGAAACGGTGACTTTTTTTCTCACGTTTTCCTACGTTTGAGGGCAGCTAGGTTTGCTTACCCTGAGTTCTCAATATCTCTTTGTGATATTTATCTTTATTTTGATTGGCCGTTGGGATTTGGTTTTTTTGCTTTACAACGGTCCCTTCCAAACCAGGAATGCATGACCCTGAAAGCAAGCCTTCTCCCGAATTCTTCTCGTGGAATAGCCGCTTTTGTAAAAGTGATTGTAGCCTTTTTAGATACCTCACAATGTTAAACGTTCGCTAATTCCGTAGATGCAGCAACGATCACAGCTTGCTTCATTAGAAGCAAAGGCGAAGCAGAATGCTGAAGATGCTCAGCGGATACGGCGAGAAAGAGACGAAGCGTTACGTGAGGTGCAACACCTAAAGAAATTATTAAAGAAGAAGGAGGAAGATTGTCTGACGGCTGAGGAGGAACTCATGAAAGCACGAAGGGTAAGAATGAATTACCTCATGTAAGAAATTTTATCAGCGTGCGACAAAGAAATATTCCGAGTCCCCAATTGGGATTTGAACTCCAGTTCCAATTTTTTTGCGGTGGAATCGAGCAGAGGTTTCGTAGGCCATACACTACGATACAGCACCAAACCTTCCTAGGATCACCAGTGTCTAACACATCGTGCCTCGAGATAGAACACGATTTTCAAGCTAAATTCTGAATTTTGAATTCTGCACTCGATTTAAGAGATGTATTCAATTAAGTCTATGGCCTAATTGCAAATTATATTTTGAGTTAAGGATCACATGACAAAGGTTGTAGGCTTTGTCGTAGAGTTCTATTCGTCATGTTTCACTTGTACTGAATGTTGCAAGCCATGGTCTGGAAAGTTATGACACAGTGTTTTCTTGAAACAGGATGCGCAAGGTCTGTTAGAAGAAAGTAGATCGCTCGAGAAGAAAGTTTATCTGGCATCTGAAGCCCAAAAAGCCGCTAAGGATGTAGAACAAGACTATGCGGAGGTAAGGGTCGTAATAGCTTCATAATTGTTTCACCCTTACCCTCTCCTCCCTGCCCTCCTTCTCTTCCCCCCCCCCCCCCCCCCTTAGAGCGAAGATTAAGCAGTAAATTTGTCATCTGACTTTTCAACGATTCGAATAGCTTCTTTCATCCATGAGTTAGCGTGCTGAGTAAAAGGTCATTCATAGCGTTTCGGCACGAGTGTTTCTTCGCCTGCGGGAAAGTATGAGGCGTGGAGCGATGCGAACCGGCGAGAGGTCTTCAGGGGTTCAAGCACTCATTATAAGTGCCAGGCTCCCAGCAAACCTCTCCCTGATTCGTTTCCCAGGGCCGTAGCCAGACTTCAGAACAAGACCAGGCAAGTTTCGAGCGCCGAAGGCGCGAGCCGCTAGGGGAGTCTGGGGGCATGCCCCCCCAGAAATGTTTGAAATCTAGAGGCTTAGAAATGGTCTTTTAACCAATACAATTTTTTCTAGGGATTATTTCCTCAATTAAACGTTTCTTTAAAAAAAAAAAAAAAAAAAAGCCAAAATCAAGACGAGGCAATTGCCTCGTCTTGCCTCATGCTAGCTACGACCCTATTTCCAATCTTCCCACAGGTGGAGAAGTGCACGTCCCGGAACTCTAATAATGAGGGGGCCTGTATTCAGGCTAGCTTAGTACTGTTTTCAAGTAACGCCGACTTAGGATGCCGTACGCTAACAAATCACTTCAGATCCCTAAAATAGTGACCAATAATCAGATCATGTGCCTGCGACTGTTAGTTGATCCGCGCTTCCTGATTGGATTATTTTGTGTTCTCTGTTACGGTTTTGAATGGTCACGATCTTTTTATTGCAGGTAAAATGGATTTAAAACTAAAATGTTCCTTTCCTTACAGGTAGTAAGACTTCTAGAGAAAGAACTGGATACATACAAAGCGAAACAGGCGGAACCAAAACCTGATGCGGTGAGCAAACCCATTTGCAAATAGGTTGCTCGATTTTCATAACTTTTACACTCGGATTTGAGTTCATATTGTCAGAGGGTGTTTATCACAAGACGATTTTTTTTGTATTGTAGAAAGAACTCCAAGAGTTACAGAAGAGACTGGTTGTTCTCGGCTGTCAACTTCGGAAAGCCGAAGTTGGTAAACGAACTTACGAAGTAGCCACGGATAAACTGATTCACTTTGCTGAGGTACAAAGGGGTGTTTTTTGTTTGTTTGTTTGGTTTTCTTTTTTTTTTTCAACAAGTGTATTGTTAATGAAAAAATTAAGGGAACTTAACTGTCTTCTTTTTTGCGTTCATGGAGGAGTTGGTAATTGCCTTTCTTTCCGACTTCATAACGTTTCCTAGTGGTAGTTATAGCCTCAAGATTTTGGCATGAAAAATAACTTTTTGGTTGATTGATTGACTGATTGATCGATTTTTTGTTTCAACGATGGAAAGATTCATTGATCGAACGATTGATCGCGATCAATCGATCGGTTGATTCGTGTTTAATTGATTGATTGATTCGTTTCGATGGCTCACTGACACTTTGTGTTCCTGGTATTTGTTTGTTTCAGTTGGTCCATGAAACTCTGTCAGAGGGAGGCTCAGGAGCGTAAGTTATTATTAGCGAAGTATTCATGAAACAAAAATTGCCTCAGAACGAGCAATGCTTCGGGCTCAAACCTATTTAACTGCGAAGAGATAAAGTGTTTGGCCCGAGACATCTGAAAACATTGCACGCTTTAAGGCTCTTTTTATTCGTTTCAAACCGATATTTTTCTAATCTGCTAGTATGTAAGAGCAGCGCATGGAAATATCTCTGTTTGTCCTTCTAATTTGCGTGTTGTATTGAATTTAGCTTGGGAGTAGGCCTTCATTACTTGCGCTGCCGAACGTGAGTTTCTATACCCCTGGAAAAATTTGCGACGAGTCACTGGAGTCAGGAAGAGGTTTGATGGGGGTCTGATGCTAGACCTCTTGTACGCCTCTAGCCAACACGCCCTGCTCAAGGCGTTATATTTTCTAAGAAACATTCGTGCGAAAGCGCTAATAAGCTGGTTATCTCGAATTGTTTCAATCTTCAAGTGTGATCATCTGGTTAGCCTATAAGAGGACTTCTGTCTGTTTCTGTGAACGGCGCAACTGACTTGACACTGAATGTGACCCCGCGTATCTTATTTCCAGGCTCCAACAGCGTGGTAAAGGCGAGTCAGTTCGTCGTGACGGCGGAGCCAATCCTAAACCGCCATCTTACATGTCCCGTCATTCCAAGTACACGCCGGCTTCCCTGGCAAAAGAAGCTCGCGAAACTGTTAAGTCAGTCAAATCACTTATAGAGGAAGAACGTAAGTTTACCCTTTCTGCCTTGTCAGCTTATTTTTAATCCGCATTATTTGCCATTGCTTTTCTCTTTAAACAATCCCCTTTGGGTTGAGATTTGTTTGGTTTAAGGAAAGAAAAGGTGACTTTGTTAAGGTTTGGCTAGATAGCAAACAGAATTCATCACCACCAAACGAATGCTTGCATTTTTAAAGTTGTTTTACTGAGTCATAAAATTTCTGGAGTGTTATAATTTTAAGGCCCAATTTTGACCTATACACACCATCATACCACAAACCGCTCCCATTTCAGCTGAGGATTAGTTCCAAGTTATTCTGAGGGTTGAATTTGCGTTTTTTATCTATTTTTACAGCCCTTCCGTTTGGATGGGAGGAGGCCTTCACAACAGATGGTGTCAGATATTATATCAAGTAAGTAGTTATGAAACAGACAGTAGCTTTTCTTCAACCTCAGCCTCAACCAACAGCATTTAACGGTTTTGCTGTAATTCATTTTCGGACTAGACTGTGTGTGGTTTCTAACCAAGCCGTGTAAGAATTTCAAGATTTAATGCCCATAGATAACCTTCAGTGATAGAAAACAAGCTTTTCCGCTGGCAAGCGGACGGAGATAATAAAAAACTTTTCAGTGCCATTGATCGATAGATCGGTACAAAATTAGATCTAAACCCTGTCATGTCAATATCTTTGGTAATGTCCCGTGAGGGTCTGATTCGCACAGGCGACATAATAGTTTAAAAGCGATTTCATCCCCCGCGTCCATGTTTTACGTTAGCTGCCTAGACAATAAAGTCAAAGCGTAATGTCAAAACAAAAGCAATGTTGCTACTTTACGAAAATGTTAGTTATTATTTGCAACCCACACAACTACCATCCGATCGATTGAAGCGTTAGCTCTTCGTCAGACAATTCGTTCTAACGAAGGGCTAACGCTCGAAACGTCAGCTTTGAACTGTTAACGGTGGCCAATTTACGTTATCAATTCAGTTGATAATACCAAATTACCCTGTTATACTCTCCCATCGACACAGCACCACAGCTTCTTTAGAAACTTATCCCCTTTACCTTCCGATCGAGGCAGGTTATTAGATTTTATTAGCGAGGTAAGCTTAAAATAATGGAAATAAATAACTAAAAGACTGAGAAGATTGGAATAGATCTTAAGATACATAAAACTTTGGTGTTTTTCTTTTTTTTTCGTTTTTTTTTTTTTCAGGGCAGTCACTGACTTTCTGTCTTAATTTCCTTTTGTCTTATAGTCACGTGACACAGCAAACGTCTTGGCTCCATCCTGTCAGTCAAGTTCAACATTTGCCGCCTATTGCAGAAAACGAAGACAACGTCAGAGAATCGCAAACGTGACGTCAGTGCACCGCACACGCGTCACGTGATCCCCATCCAAGAGCTTGTGACAGTAGTGGTGTAAACTTCAGAAGAGCGTTATCAATTGTAAGGCAAATGTAAACCAAAGAATCGATAACAGCCGATCATGGCCATTGTGAAGCAACACGTGAAAACAAGATGTGAGGTCGGCGCCGAGCCAAGGAAATCATCTGCTTTGTTTAGTCATACTTATAAATAATCGCGTAGGTGGCTCTAGCGTTCACAAAATCTTTCTAAAATTTGGAAAAGCTTTAGTCTGTAAAGAAAGTTGAACATAAAAGTAGTTTATTATCCGTGGCTAATTTATACTGTTGAAATGTTGAATGCTGCTGTTGAAGCTGAACTAACACATTTCCTATATGAGAGAGAAATTTAATCTATATTGCAAACGGAAAAAGGAAAAATGATAAGATTTTATCATCCATGCGATGCACAGAAAAAATGAATTGAAACGATTACAAGCAAACTGAAATGTATGAATTTTTTTTTTTAATTTTTTATCAAGCTTACAGGAGCATTTTGCCTTATATTGATTGTTTTGCTTATTTATTATACCTCACTCTTTCTGTTTTTGGTGTAGATATTGCAAAAATTTGTTTGTTTTAGAATGGTGTTTTACAATCTTTTCACTCCCAATATCTCTCATGGATTTTCCTTACTCTCTGTTTTTCTTTTCTTTTCCACACGTTCTAGTTGTGTGAATTTCTAGTAAAATAAAGTAGTATCTTCTAGCTGATATTTCTCTTTAGTCTCATTGCTCTTCTCTCATTGCTTGAAAATGAATCATTGCCTTAGGAGAACTAAATTATTTGTCACCCTTGTCAGTGAAAGGGTTTTTAACAAACTAGAACAGTGTGGTTCTTTCTAGCCTGGCTTTTAAATAAGGATATTTCTGTATGGGAGTATTAATTATGTAAATAGTAGTCTAAAATATGATTGCCTTAAATCTGACAAAATCTATCAACTTATCTTATCATGGAATTGTTAATCGTCATTAAATATTATAGGTTTGATATGGGAAGTTTCTCCATTTTTCCTCCATCTTGTTCAACCGGTATATTTTTATAAAATGAGTGCAGTGGCCTCAGAGAGTATTTCTGACTGCTAAAGTATGGTAGTTGGAACACATCATGTGATCACATCTTTGGCATCTATATAGTGTGATAGAGACCAGTACATTTGGTCATCAATAAAATATAGTATAACTTTTACACTGTCTTTTCATTCTTAGTGGGGTAGGGGGTTAGAAATGTGAACAAGAGGAGTCAGAAAGGCTTTCCTTTCTTTTTTGTCCTTCTTCTGTATCTTACCTACTAGTTTGTTACAGGACACTTCATTTTGCACAGTTTATTCTAGAAATTGGCCAATGAGGGGCAAATGGGCCCCTTTCAGAATATTAGGGGGGGCCTATTTCAAGAGATAGGGTTCAAGAAAGGGGTTCCCTTAAAGGTAATTGAACTTATTGGTACAGAAAAGAAAGGCAGTCGAGACAGTAAGAGGCCCTAAGAGTTATAAGTAGGTGTATAGAGTTGCTGTCAAATCAGTGTTGTTGTCAGTGATGTTTTTGAATACTCTATTTCCAAAAAATGGTACTTATCCTTGGGTCTATTTTTTATTTTTATTTTTTGCCCCATTTGACCCAGAAGCACAAATTTTAAGCAGCATTTTTTTCCAATTTGTAGAAATCCTGCAAAGCTGCGCCCTTGACTAAACCCTGTTTTGTTAGCCTGTGGCACTAATTTTGCAATTTATTAACACAGATGATTTGATTTATTCTTCATACTGTTCTTTATACATTTCCTAAGGTACTGACCTTGTAGAAACCTTTTGAGAAAATAGAGTGAAACAAATAGAAAAGGACATGAATTAGGGGGTAAGTGGGTAACTCCAAATACAATGTGAGAAATTTAATAATAAAAAATATATAATTTGTATCAAAAAATGATAAATTGAATAAATTTACTAATTTGATATTTTATAGGAACCATGTGCTATCAACAATATTTTCTTTCCATATTAATATGGTGAAAATTTTGGAAAGGGCCTGGTGAAAAAAATTGAGCGAGGGATCTTCCAACATTTTTCCAGAATTCAATACATGACACTCCTGGTGCCACTAAAATTATACCACAAGATAACCAACCAGCTTGCTGTGAAAAGCAATATACCTCTTAGTCTTTAATCATCCACTCACTACCCTCCAGTTTTTTTCTCTCTTTAGTCACTTATCTCCGTTGAATGAAGGTCTGGAACAGGCTAAGTAAAAAGTTGATTAAATTTTTTGAGGTAAGGTTATAAACATTGCTGCCAGGTTTTACTACAGAGTCCAACAAGCTAGGCACGATGTCATTGCATCAAGTCAAACAAAATTCAAGGCTGAAGTGTACTAACAGATTTACAACCCCCTGGATTGATTACAAGCTCTTGTTCTGGAAATAAGCCTGCCCTCACCAGAAGTTGCTTCTTGGGTTTTTTCAAAAACCAGACTTCAGAGAATGGCAGAAATCTAGCCCCAAAAACCCCTACTGATAGTCCCCAATGAGTGACCATCAATACATGCATTATTTAAAAGAATGTAATTAAATATTTGGGATTAAAAGTAAGCTTAATCTACAAACAATGTCTCTCGTTATTTAAGTATAGATGGTTATGTTTTAAAAACCAATTCCAGAAGTGTAAAGCAAAACCGAAGAAATTCTTCAGAATTTGCACACTTTTTGAGAGATAGCTCAGTTGTGTTGTCAACCCTTTAACTCCTGTGAGTGACCAAGACAGACTTTCTCCTTACCTATATCTATACAATATCATGTGGACAAGCGATGAGAATAAAGAAAAATATCAATTACCAGATTACGAACTGATCCAATACCAAATTCTCAAAACTAACATAGTGAGAATCCTTTGGCAGACAGTAAAGAGAATTACTAATGAGATCTCAGGAGTTAAAGGGTCAACAAATAGATACTGGGCTGCTGTGCGTCAGTTCAGTGATAGATCATAGTTGATATTCAAAATTTAAGAACAGAAGAGGGGCACACAAGGTACAGCTGAGTGCGTCACTAATGTTCTTCTCACTATATACTGTCAATTTTGTCAACAAATAAGCATGAAGGAAATAAATACCTAGCAAGGATAAAACGAAGTTCATAATTCGATTGAGGGGTGCTATAATAAAAAATGTACTTTCGTTTCGTTGACTTTTCTATAATTTATAGGTGGTTATGGAACCATTTGGAAGATATTGTGTTACAGGCCGCTCGTAATATTTGTTAAGAAAGCTCCTCAGAAACATGCTATGTGAAAATACCAAAATGTTTGTTTCATTGCGACTTCGAAGGAAAGCATGAAAACGTTTCAGTCTTTGCTGAAAATAGTCATCTGTTTCCCCCATTAGAAAGGTTCCGTTGTTCAACAGCCACTCATAGCATTTTCTCTGATCTGTCAGCTGATCTCTCAAATTTTCGTCTACGTACCACCATACATTCGGAGGCAGCTCGCTAAAATCCAGCGTTGGATACATTCTCTCGAGTCTGTCTCTGGTATTTCCTATGTCGCATAAAGATTCTCCTCTTTCCCCGCACCAATGCGAAACAACAACATTCTGACTACCATAAGATCCAAGACATGTCTGAATGGCTCGCGAAAACGGAGAGGTTATAGCGATCTCGGCGTTCAAAGCCTTTACTTTCGGCTGTAAGGTGGTAACTTGTTCTTCACCAAGAGCACTTAACGGACAGTCTAGGTAAGCTTCAGAGTGCAGATCTTTGCGAGGAATTCTGAAAACATTCTGTGCTTCGTTCCATGTAGATTGACAATGACGGACGAAATGCACGGTCTTTTCATCGTCGAGCATTGTTGCTAGAATTTTCAAGCGTATTTTTAAGTGATAACCCTTGGAGCAATAGCAAGAACAACCGGTAACCTCGCGATCGCCTTCTTCGAAAGACGAGGCCTGGGCCTAGTTGACCTTTCCATTTGCCCGAGTAATAACGTATCTGCCTCTAGTTTCAGTCTCTTCAAAGAAACACGGCTATTCACATTTTTTCATTTGAATCCGCTTCCCAACCTCTCTATCTCTCGCATTCTCCCGTGCCATACTCCGAAACTCCCCGTTTTTTTGCGTTTTTTTTTTTGCTAGTATAATTGGTATTCACTAGACGATTGCGCTGACGCGAACGAACATCGACTTCCACAACTGTTTTTCTCTCTCGCAAGATCGAAAAGTGATGATGAAAACACAGGCTAACTTGATTGGCTAATGGTATAGATGTTCCGTCTCACCCACCGGTATATCTTCTTTAGTGTCTCTACACACCAAAAGAATTTTTAAGCTTCCTTATGCAATCAGTTTGCACCTTGAAGAACTTTGCGAGTGGAAATACTACTCCCTGCTATGGATTATGGCCATAACATCGTCCGTACACAGGCAGACATGGTATTACTCGAGAGCAAACCCCTTCGTGTGTAACGGGCTTAAAGATCGAGAAGAAGGGAAACCCCCGCCCCTCGTACCTTCTTCCCTATTGACCGAGTCCACTTCGTTGTCTTCGAGACATGGACAAGAGATACAGTAAAAGAGATTTTTAATATATTTCTTTCTTTTTCTTACATATTCGCAATATAATCAGAAGCGCTTAATTATTGCACAAGTCAAGTTTGATTCTCAGCAGGGCTAGCGAGCTTAGGTAGTCTAATAATGTAGTATTATTATTAATGACCTAATCACATCTGGCCAAATATGGTCCATGAATCGACTGATTTTTTTGCCAAATTAAGTTTGAATTATTCAAACATTTTCGAACAGTCCTACAAAGTCAAGGAACCAGCGACTACCAACCATAACCTTTGACCTATTACGTGACTTTATTGAAGTAACACCAAGAGTGTCACGCAAAGAACTCCCCACTGATTACTTGAAGAAGCCAGCTCCCCGTTATAATCAGAAAAAAAACGAACACAAATTCAAAGGTGGATTTGCAAATTTGATTTCAATCAGACAAATAGAGTAAAAATAAAATTGAAAACATTTTCCAAGACTTTCAAAATCCTTAAGGTCTTGTTTATCATAATTCAATCCTAATCCTAAGCTTAGAGCAACTGCGTTCTAAAAGACTAGACTTGCTAGGGGTGGCACACGATGTATCAATGTTACGTAACGAATAATCACGTGACGGATAGAAGGATGAAGTTTTTAAATTAAAAATCACGCCATATCGTCGTCAAATAAGAACAGAAACTATAGAAAAGTGCGAGAACAGCATGTTAAATTCAGAGGCTGTAACCGATTGCATAAAATTTCACCTCAATTCAGCAAATATTAAAATTAGAAAAAAACTTCTCTTCTAGCAGAAACTTCAGACACATTGCAACACCCCTAAGCTAATATCTATTTGTTTTAAAAATCATTTTTCATTAAAATTCAATTTACAAAAAAAAAAAAAAAGGAGAGAGAGAGAGAGACATGATTGACAACCAATCCACAGCGAATAACCCTGCACGCGCGAATAATGTCTTCACTTTCATGATGAAAATTAAGGCAGATGTTCCTGAGTCCTACAGAACACTGCGGGAGTTTCAGCATTCTAACTGTCGATAACCTTGTCTAGACTTAAACAAAAAAATCAGTTGACCAGCAACGTAAAAAATGGTTAATAAAAATAGTGAGAAGATTCGCAAATCGTTTTCTTAACAATACGCTGTCTAAAAAATTAACCCATCGCGATTTCGGCGTTCCAGCAATAACAATTCTCATGGTTTCTAAGCTCGTTTGTTTCTCCTTAGGAGAAAGGAAGATTTCACCGATCTTACTTCGTTCACGTGGGATCAACTCCATAACCAATCAGATCAGGCTGCACACGTGCCTCTTCATGCTACAAAGACATGCATATCCACTTCCGTGTCGAAAACTGACGAAACATTTTCCACGCCTTCCGTCTGTCTGGCTACTCATCATGTCTTAGAACTCTTTATAGCTACATCATTTTAACGAATATCTTTTCCGTTTCAGTTAGCAATAAAGTAGGTATTGATAACTACGTTTAATGCCGAATACGTCTTTTTGGAAGGAATTCTATCTCCTTGATCACCAATTAAAATATCCTAAATCTCTGATATATTAAAAAGTCAGCTACGTGATAGTTTCAACGTAATTCTCAGGAACAAGACCTGTCCTTCCGTTCAGTGTACCTTCAAGCCAGCCAGGTTCTTTCGA